AACTCCAAGAAATACTTTAACACTTGACATACACAAGTCTTGAACTTGTTATGTGAGTCGAGGACCCAGATTCAATCGAAAGGAAAGAACAGACAGTCGCTGCCACATAGTGCAAATGCGTGGTAGAGCCATGCTGCAACTTTATGATTATAGCACGTGTAGGTCGGCTCGACTGGGAAGGAACCACGCTCTCAAATAATACCAGCGAGAAATAGCAGCTTAATACTGCTATATTTCGTATAGCGAGTGTAGAGTACTGGATAACTTTTTACTGGAAATAAACCATTCAATGAGTCCTCACCGGTAACGCATTCTGTATTTAAAATTTATACGAGAACAGAAATGTAGACCTCTATGGGATAAAGCCTCTTACGGCCTACGGCTGTTGCTAGTTTGTCAGCCTTTTTCTTTAAAAAAAAATCTATGTAGTGGAATCCTTTCAACTGTAGTACTATATGCTGCCTTCCTTAGTATAGTAGTAAAAATTGTACGGAAGATATATAGGTGTATATATATATATATATTGGTGGTCACATAATTAAAGACAATAAAGGGATATTAAAACAACAAAGTTTATCTACTCTTTATTTGCTTGTTGAAATTTAACACGAGCTAGAAACAATATTAAAATCATTCGGACATTGATTGTGAAATGTTGGAATTAAACATTGTAAATAAACCTCATGTGTCCGAATATTTATTCAGTTTAACTACATTTAGACAACCATGACCTAAGCATAAGCTGATGTCAGGGCTGTACGGTAGCCAATCTAACACAGTTACTGACTGGCTTCTTAGGAATTCTTTGACAACTTTTGCTGTGTGTTTCGGGTCATTGTCGTGTTGGAAAGTCCAAACCACCGGCAAACTTTCCTCAGCATAGGGTATCATGACTTCCTCTAAAATATTCTTATACTGGAATTTATCCATGTTCCCTTCTTTTTTCTTGATAGGTCCTATACCATGACCAGTAAAACAACCCCAAATTTTAATGTTTCCACCTCCATGTTTTACTGCTTTCTTCGTGTACTTCGAATCCATTTCTCTTTTAGGAGGACGTCTCACATACATTTTTCCATTAGAAGTAATCATATTAATTTTCGTTTCATCAGAAAAAAGTACATTTTTCCACTCACGTTCTGTCCAGTGTTTATGTTTTTTGGCAAACACTAATCTAATCTAGCTTGGATGTTTTCCTTCTTTAATATTGGCACCTTACGAGATATTCTTCCGAATAAGTTTGCTTCACACAATCGCCTTCTTATTGTTCTTGCAGACACTCAACTCAATCTTTCCTCACCAAATATTTCTGAGCGAATCAGTTCTGATCCTTTAAAATTTAAACGGTTCCCTTTTTGCCAACAACACTATTGTTGAGTCTTCTCGTGGGGTTGTTTTTCTAGGTCTAGTCTTCCTGGGCACATTTTCAGTAGTATTAAAGTTCTTAAAATGCTGGATAGCATTCATAACCATATCTTTAGAGGATCCTAACTGATCTGCAATCTTCCTATATGACCAACCTTTGCCATAAAACTTGCGGATCGTCTTCCTTGTATACGGATCGCAGCTTTTCTTTTTTCCCATAATAACACTAATAAAATGTAATAATTTTTATTAAGTACAAAGCTAGTTGTTATTTTTATTCTATGTACCGTGAAAATTCGCGCCAAATGAAAAATAACATAATTGTTTTAACATTATATTTTAAATTTAGAACATGAAAAACACACTGTCTTTTATTAGCTGACCAGCGGTTAAGTTGTCGAAAAAGTTTTTATATTGTTTAAAAAAGGATTAAAATCTCAATTATTGCTAAATACACGTTTTTGATGTTTCCATTTTAATAATACGATCTCAGTGTAAAGATTAATAACTATGAAATATAATTAATACCTACTTTGGGTACTCTACACTAGCTTGCTACATATATATTTATCTATGCTCTACACGTCTGTAATACTGTTGTATGTGGTCACACAGAAGAGTGTCTTTAATTATGTGACCGCCACTGTATATATATGGGTCGATTAACATCCCAGGTAAAAAAATAATTATTTAAATCTTGACAAATCTACGGTTTATACATTAGACCTGATTTCCCAGGTGTTAAAAGGAAAACCAGATATTTTTAATTATCCTCTGTTTTAAGTCGGGGGTGACAACGCATCTACATTTTCTTAATCGAAGATAGATGTAAATGTCTATGGGCCACACTTACCGTTAGGTGAACTGTATGCTCGTTTGTTACCCTTATTATATAGAAAAAGGCGATTTTTAAAGATAAATTATTAGTGCGTACGTTAATCTACGTAGTGAAAAATGCAAGTCGGCTGAGCGCATGCGATCTTGGACAAATTATCATACTCGTCCAAGAGTCCGATCAATTGAACTATAGAGTATAGTAAGACCAGTAAGACTGAACCTTGGACTGAACTGACTCGACTGGAGTCCAGCCAGGGTGACGCACTTCGTGGAATGTGGGTGCACGTTTTGACCAAGCTTGAAAACACAGACTAATATGATCATAGATAAATAAATATGTAGCAAGCGGAATATAGTACGAGGCCGGCACTGAAAATTTCGGGAATCAAGAAAGTGACACAACATTACTATTTAAAAATGTATTTATTGCTTTTTGAAGTATTCTCCGCGAAATTTGACACATTTTTCCATACGATGGAAACAATAATTGAAGCAACCATTCCATTCGGAAGTTGGGGTCTCCAAAATGGCCGTTTTAAGGCGTCCACAGCTTCTTGAGGTGATGAAAATCTCTGTCCACGCAATTTATTCTTTATTCTAGGGAAAGTATAGAAATCATTAGGGCTTAGGTCGGGGCTGTACGGCGGATGGTCTAATAATTCTATATTTTCTTGCTCTAAAAACTCTTTTGTTCTGTGTGCGGTGTGAGAATTCGCATTGTCGTGATGGAGGATGATGCGGCGGTTGCAGTTCTCTTTACGGAGTACAAAAACGACCTGTGGCAAACAAATGCTATCATACCATTCTGCATTAACCGTTCTTTGTCCCTCAAGAGGAATAGTCGTAACATGGCCGGTATTGGAGACAAACGTGGCCACCATTTTTTTTGCAACAATCCGTGAACGAACAATTTTTGTTGGCTTTAACTCATTTTCGAACACCCAAACTCGTGACTGGTTTTTTGTTTCAAGTTCGTACGCGTATATCCAGGATTCGTCACCTGATACGATGTTGTATACAGCATTTGAGGATCCTGCGTGGAATCTTTCGAGAGTTCTGACGCACCAAGTAACGCGAGCCGCTTTTTGCTCTTCACAGAGCGAATGCGGTATCCATCGGGAAAACAACTTTTTTACACCTAATTGTTCATGCAAGATTATTTGTATTTGACTCATGCCAATGGCTAAATTTGCCTGAATTTCGCGGTATATCACATGTCGATCTTCCTCAATCAGCTTACGCACAGCATCAACGTTTTCTTGGGTGACTGCAGTTTTTGGACGACCTTGACGGGGATCATCACTGAGCTTGACACGTCCACGTTGAAATTCAGCAAACCAGCGATAAATTGTGGTTTTGGATGGAGCTTCATCACCAAATGCAAAAATCATCCGGTCAACACACTGCTTTTGTGTTAAACCACTTCGAAAGTCATAATAAATCATCGCTCTTGAATTTTCTCGAGTCAATTCCATTCACTCAACGACTAAACAAGTTTGACAAAACCTTGGGGGTTATTATATTTTTAATGAATACATGGTTGATAATAAACCCTGGGAATGAGGTGGTCGCTTCCAAGCAGTTTCTAAAATAAATTTTGTAAATAGTTCGTAATCATTTATATTGTAAAATTTATTTAAAAAAAAAAAGTCCCGCTGGGTTTCTTGCTGGTTCTTCCCAGGACAGAGGGTTTTTTTTATTAATTAAGATTGCTTTTAATTTTGCTATAGGAGCCGTTGTTCATTTACAGAATTGTTAAGAAATTAAATATGCATTATAAAATTTTCCAATTAAATGGTGCAAGAAGCGGAAAAAATGATAACAAGAAAAGGCTATTCGTAACAATATTTCCCTTAGATGATGAAAGGTATGTGGTGATTTCAACTTTAATAGTAATATGATATTCAACGCGAGTATATTTTTGGACTAGCCATCTATGTAGGATATGTTTTTATAGTGTACGATTGTGTGCACAAACACAAACACACTATTTCCAAAATCTGATAGTTCGATGGTTTGGCAATCCGAAACGAACTATACTTAGAAACTACAAGTCAATTCTGACTGCTAACATTCTATTTATTCAATAATAATGTGATTATATTTATATTATTTTTTCAGATGCAAGCAATGGGTGAAATAGCTGGCACATGCACCAATTGAAAAGATTCACATGTTAACACATTCACGGACAGTACGCCCATTTTCGTGACATTCTGAATTTATATTACGACACAACGCCTATTTACGATAAAATATTTTTTTCCTTATTTGCCACTACGTAAATAAGCGCGGTATTCGTTTACGGTTAATATGAAGATCTACTTTTACTGTCATAACCCAAACAGTATCAAGATTGTACTGTCACAACATAAAATTTTATGATAGTAAATGTGTGCTATCTACACATACATGCAAATTTTGCTATAGTACACATGTTGTGGCACCACGAATGTAGCCGTTGCGTTCGCGTCGTGAGTCAAACGAACCAGTCGCGTAGTGTCACCGGGAGGAGAGGACACGCTCGCTTGCGTCAAATCGTTTGTCGTTGTTCGTTGAATACTTACGTGTTTTTCCTGGTAAGTAATTTAGTGTTATAATATGTTATTGTCTGTATAAAGATAACCGAATAGTAACCAGTCTTTCAAAAATGGTTAATACTTATTGTATCAAAAAACCGTTAGCATAAAAAGCACGATAAATTTAAAAATATAATGGAATAAACTTCATATTATTTTGTAGGTAAGTATCGATTTTTTCTTTTATTGTGCGTCTAATTCTCTTTCAATTGTCTTCAGATGGCCTCAAAAAGAAACAAATTGAGCAGAGGCAAGCCAAAATCTTTGTTTCGAGATGATGAATCTAACCACGATCCATATTCTGACGATGATGGTGAATATGGTTCAGACCACAATTACGAGCCCGCTGATAAAGATGAAGATAGCAGCAGTGACTACAGTGAAATTTTCGATGTTCATAGAAGTCGCTTTGAACGGAATAGACAAAGAATTGGGTCTGAAAGCGAGAAGTCGTATCATGGTTCTGCTGGCGATCAAAGCGATAATGGCGAGCAGTTAGACCAGAATTCTGTTAATGAAAGAAACTTTGATGAAACCGAACGTGATTCCGACATAAGCGATTGTAGTATTTTCGATCACCATCAAATTCAAGTAGCAGGGAATGAGAAAGAAAGCAGCGTTCAAAGGTATGAAAGTCAAGAGAACAATGCTGTTAGAAATCATAAAGATAACTATGATATCCACTTACAACAAAAGTATGAGCTACCGGAATATAGAAATCAACAAGTCGAAGAAGAAATAAGAATGAGTCTGGAGATTAATGAGGTGATTGGTGTTCAATTTCCAAAAATTCAGGAGCCTTCTCAGGATAGAAGAGGAGAAGAAAAACTTACAGCTAGAATGAGAGAGGAGCTGAATGAGGTGGTTCAAGATCAATCTCCACAAAATCAAGCACAATCTCAGGCAAATTTAAATGAGGCTGGACCGAGCAGAAGAAGAAGTTCAGTAAATACAGTACGTCGAGGGACTCCTCCACCAAATGACACAATTTGGGAAGATACTGTCTCAAATATTGCTTCTATTGACTTTAGATCTCCAGAGAAAGGCCCGACATTTGAAGTTCATGAAAATACCACATGCGAGGAAGTATTTGACCATTTATTTACCACAGAGATGATAGAGTATTTGGTTGAACGAACAAATTCCTATGGAGCTGCTCTTACCAAAACAAATAGGCCACATACACGTCATGCACGCAATGCTGCCTTTCGAGTAACAAATCCTGAAGAGATGAAAAAAATTTTAGGTCTTACTTTATTAAATGGTCACATTCGTGTTCCACAACAAAGGAAACTTTTTACATATGACGATCCCTTGTATTTTCACCCTGTCTTTAACTATACAATGTCTTGCAGAAGGTATGAGCAAATTTTAAGATGTCTGTATGTAGCTGATTTGGGTGCGAAAGGGTCTGGAAAAATTGAAGGTTTTATAAACACAGTGACTCAAAATTTTCGAAATGTATTCAATCCAGGTCAAGACTTGTCTCTTGACGAGTCTTTGCTACTTTATAGAGGACGATTAATATTTCGTCAGTACATAAAATCAAAAAAAGCTAGGTATGGCATAAAGTTTTACGTTTTAACTACAGCGGATGGATACGTTTTAAATATTATAATGTATAGCGGAGCAGAAAATATTGAAGCCAATGAAAGGAGGACTGACAAACTGGTACTGCGTTTAATGCGCCCATATCTTTTAAAAGGGCATAACTTATTTATGGACAATTACTACAATTCAGTGACCCTTTCTGAAAAATTACTTGATTTGAAAACACACACCAACGGCACGCTGCGTAAGACAAGAAAAGACAATCCTAAAGAAATTGTACAAAAGAAACTCCAAAAAGGCCAGCATGTGTGGGCTAGGAAAGGAAAAGTCTATGTAAGTGCCTGGAAAGATAAAAGAGACGTCTATATGGTTACCACCATGGATCATCCAGCGCTCATTGAAGTCACAAACCGATTTGGAAAAAAGAAAACTAAACCCATAGAAGTGAACAGATATAACAAATCCATGTCCGGTGTTGATCGCTTGGATCAGATGATAAGTTATTATTCATCACCAAGAAAAACTATAAGGTGGTATAAAAAGGTCCTATTTCATATTATGGACACCACAGTTTGGAATTCCTTTTACATTTATAAAAATTTTGTGAAAAAAGATAAGAAGTATGAGTATGTGACATACAGAGAAGAGTTAATCAGGAAATTGATCGGCCTGAAAGAAGAAAAAGGAAAAGATTTAATTCGAAATTCCAACAAGAATGACAGCAGGCGGAATGTGCTTCAAACTGAATCACAGCTTCATGAAAATATTGAACGCAGTAAGGTAGAAACGCAGGACAACTTTTCTCAGCCAAATTCAGGAAACCATGGACATTGGCCGACTCGCATGATGCCATCTGCAAATTCTAAGAAGAAGTACGCATTTTTGACATGTAAGCAATGTTCGAAACAAAAGGTACGACGTGACACAAGTTACTTCTGTAAAGGTTGCAATAATTCTCCAGCACTTTGTCCTTCATGTTTCGAAGATTGGCATAAAGATTTGTAAACTGTCAAGTGTAATTTTATAAATACATAGATTATCATAATATCAAGGATGACATTTTAAATATTCCTTATTTAAAATGTCATCTTTGATATTATGATAATCTAGATTTTATAAAATATTGTGATACTACATTTTTGAAAAACAAAAGACTGTTTGTTATGCTTAAGTTAGTTAGCTTTTTAGCGTATTAAAAAAAGGAGACCTAGAAAAATAATAATTATATGTTTGTTAATCGAGAGAAAAGACGTATCTGATAATTATTTTGTTTTGTTAATTATTAACCAAGTTTAAGTTAAGAAAATATTTTTGTTTAAATATAAGACTGTTATTTTGTTTTTTTTTTTTTTAAGTTTGGTATATAAATATGATTTTCCATAGTTTTGATTTATTCAATAAAACATTTTTTTTGTTTCACAAAGTTTTGATTATTATCATCATGATTCCTATGGTAGGGACGTAAACTGACGTACTGTCATACTACACTTATTTATACACATAATCTTGATAGCAACATGGCAGTACGCCTATTCGCGATGCGTACAGAGACTTACTGTCATATGCACACGGTGATATCAATCACGATGCGACAACACGACTATTTCGTGGCACGTACCGAAGCGTACTGTCATATGAACGCCATAATTTTAATTACGATGTGACAGCACGACTATTTCGTGCCACGTAAATAAGCGTACTGTCATTAGAAGACCATAATTTAAATTACGACGTGGCAGCACGACTATTTCGTCCCACGTACATAAGCGTACTGTCATTAGAAGACTATAACTTTGACTACGATATGACAGCACGATTATTTCGGGCCACGTACAGAAGCGTACTGTCTCACCACAATTGTACAAATATATTGCTATGTGTCAGGAAGTATATAGGCGTGGTAGTAATTTGTATGGAATTTTTTAGTGTCATATTTCAAACTTGGTGCAGTGTCCAGTGTCCGTGAAAGTGTTAAGACATATTTGTGACAAACATTGCATATGAACCCGACTAAAACGAACTGTTATTTCTTTAGTGGACTTACTTTAAACTTCCACAATTTCTGTGTATGTTAATTAGGTTTCATTTACATGTAGCAAAAGATAATATCCCTCTAAAGTCACATTTTGGCAAGAATTAGATTATATAACTAAATCATTTTATTCATCAATAAACATTAGCTATAATGAGCACTTATTTTGAAAGCGACAATTAGTAAACGATCCCTGCGAATAGTATGTACATAGGTGCCTCTGTGAAGAAGCCTAGCGATTTGTACATAGTATTTAACATAACATAACATAATAATATAAACACTCACGCCTGTCACCCAGAGGGGTAGGCAGAGACTACGGACTTCCATTTGGCGCGATCCTGACACACCTCTATCGCCTCATTTACATCCATATATCTACGCATACACGCTCGTCGGTTAAGGGTACTCCTAATCTGGCCCATTTTTAATGTATCGCCGATTTGGTCGATAAACCTTCGTCAAGGGCGTCCCTTCCCGACCCTGCCGTTCACTTCCGCAACATAAATTTGCTTTGTCACTCTTTACATAGTATTTGTTATACATAAAAGCAATTTAATCCAATCAGTATTAAAAACCCAATATTTTTACCCTTAAAAAAACTAATGTTGAAAACAAGCATCCAGACGCAAACTATTTATTTTACAGCATAGCAACAATTGTTCAGTGCGGGAAGGAAGGCTCGGTCCTGCATGCCGCAGCCAAACGCTTAGCCACTGCGCTACGGAGTCGTCATTTATTTTTTACTTAATTAATTACTAGTATAAAAGTGCGTTTTTTATTTTATATTTTCTTTATACATACTTTTCTACCTAATTGTAGAGATATAAATACAAATTGCTGTGTTTAAAATACATTGATTTATTATCCTCATCGGCATTTTTACTCAATCCACACGTTAAAAATTTTATTTCTCATAAATAATTCAGTATAGAGATCTAACTTTTCTTATGTAAAAATATCGATAAACAATATATCGATAAAGGTTATATCGATAAAATTACTCGAGGATAGACACTTACAGCACTATTGTAATTAGTCAATGTTGTCAGCACTGTTTCTCAAAACTAAAAGTCATATCTTGATGTTGGTAGAGTAACTTGGCGTAATTTCATGTGATTTCATGCAATTATTTTTACTATGGATGTCCCGCCTCTTAAACGTAGTGATTATATTCTCTTTAGCTTACTCATTTTCGGCGTACGACGGCTCTTCACGTTGACCAACACACTGGCGAATGTGTTGGCCCACAACGATGGCCATCGTGTAGGGCGGGTGTTTAAGCTACGTTGGTACGTATTGGAACGATGGCCCACAAGTTGGCGCGAGATCGGTCTGGTGTCGGTTTTTTACAAAAGATCAAAGGGTTGTGGCAGAGTATTGGCCGCCGCGTCCACACGTTGGCCGCACGTTCAGTTTGCTACGAGCTCCCAGAGTGAATGCACGCACCTGATTTAAATTTTATATGCACGCAATAGTGTCTAGATAACGGCAGTAACAATGACCAATGAAAAAACTTTTCGCTTTATAGAGCCCTACCAAGCCGAAAATTGTTTGTAAAACACAAGTCTTTTTTAAAAAAAAATATTATTATACACTAGGATTTTCTCCTGTATCGTGGAGGCAGTTTAGAAACATAAATTGCATAAGGACAAACATCCAGACCCGGAGAATATGTGCAGGCTATACAAATACTTGTTCCGTGCGGGATTCGAACCCGCGGCCCCCAGGGCAGCAACTCATTGCTAAGTCACTACGCCGCGGAGCCGTCAAGAAATAAAATTTCTTTTTTCCATTTCTTTTTGATCACCCTTATCTTATACACATTCACGTTGCAGTGATTAATTGTGTATTAATTTATTTATTGATGTATTAATTGATTTATTAAATATCTTAAAATCTATAATATATAATATATATTAAAATCAAATTAAAAAGTAGGATACTAAAATCATGTTTTTACTGTCTTTATTATTCCCTATTAGTTACTTTATTTCGTTAATAATACTGTAATTTTTAGCTATGGAAGAGCGAAGTCACCTGTTACAGGCATTATTTTGCTTACTAGGTGATCTCGATCACTGATCATATAATGTAACTTTAATGTTTGACGAAATAAATTATTTATTATTATTATTATTATTAAGTTTTATTCTATAATTATATGATAAGAATAACCCTTTTTAAAAAGGTTTTGTTTAATAAAATTTGACAACAGTTTCATAGACAGGCTTCGAATATTTTCCAGGCCTTAGTTGTAAAAGTGTTAATTATACCTATACCTAGGTGTGTTAATGTTTATATAGTTCACTTATCTGTATAACGTTAGTGTATAATAAAGAAATATTAAAAATATTAAATATAAAAAATAGTGAAAATTAAATAAAAAAATAGTAGTATGCTGTGAATAAATAAACCGCAGCGGCCGTTAGCGCATCAATAATCATTTTAATAAATTCGTCCGCACATTGGCCTGAACCGAAGCAAACTGAACGACCTTCCAACTTGTCGACGCGATCACAATTTCTTGGCCAATAACCCTGCCAACACATTCGCCACTGTGTTGGCCAACGTGAAGAGGCGCCAGTAGATAGAGGATTGTTTTTTTAAACTAGCTTTACGGCTCTGGGTTCTAGCCCTTCTGAGACTGCTAGAGGATTGTGCCGTCGATTGAAACATAGAGTACAGAAGACTGAACTGGCTAACTCGACTAAAGTCCAGTCGGGTGCACGAGTATACGTGTCGCTTGGGACCTTAAGATGTTATTGTCATCAAATGTCCACTAGGTTCAGCAGTCAGCAAAATCTACCCCAAGAAATTTACAATGTGACTGTGAAGATTTTTTTAATAAAGTAATCGGTGTAAGTTGTGTGGTACAAGGCCTTTGCCTGCATTAATCGCATTAATTGGTGAATCGTAACGACAACAACTGTCATTGTCATTTGTCAGTTTAACTATTTTTATGATAAAAATTATTTATAATTCAGTCAACAAAAATGGCGAATATTCCTATTGGGGTTCCTACTCATATTCAAAAAATTTGTAGCCTTTATAAAAGGACTTTACGTAATTTAGAATCATATTACGATAGACGGTAAGGCATTTATATTTCTTTAGAAAGAATTTTTCTATCTCACAGTCTGTTTTCGTATTACGTAATTATTGTTTTTAATTTTTTTTTTCAACTCTTATTTTCTCAGATCACTGGATACACGAGTATAAAATATTTTTACATTCATATCAGGTTTAAATAATTGTTTCATGTTGTAGATATTTAAAAGTACCACCTCTTTATTTATTATTTGTTTTGAAATTAATTTTTTTTTTCGTATTACTTATGTTGATACTTAAATAATTTCGTAGACATTTTGATATTTTAGAAACTGGTAGATTATGAAACGTTTTACAATTTTCTATTTATCATAAAAATAAATAAACGATTTTATTGTGTACAGTCATGTGTATCGCTACCATGCGGTTCTCCTTCGAGAAAAATTCGATAAGATTGTTAATGAGAAGGATATGCGAAAAGCTGCCGAGATGGTGAAGCAGGGAGAAGAAGAACTGTTCTTACAACAGCATCCCATTCCAAAGAAATGTAAGTGTATATCAAGTTAGATTTTGTTTGTCTATTATTTACATAACTATCTAAATAATTAAATCTACTATAAAAGTATATAGCAAATTTCTATACATTTAGTTTATTAAATAAATAAGATGAACTCACACTGCTGTGTTACAGACAGAGCTAGTAGTCTAAAGTGTTAACAAATGTTACAATGTATATATAACAACTGTTCATATGAAGCATTATTGTTATTTAGTGTCCACACAGTATAATGGCTTACACGCCTAACTTGATCTGCTACGAACCAAATCCACCCATTTGTCCCACTGGGCATAACTAGGTGACGAGTTTATAATGCCGCTGTAGCCCTTCAGTGTGAGATTGAATATGCCTCTGAACACACTGCTACCACAAAAGTAAAAGTAATACTGGGTGAACATCATGTAGGATTTGAAAGTATTTAACTCTAGGCCAATTAAAAAGGGTCTATAGTAACTGTCCCTGGGTCTCGATCAGACATAACTACATTTTAAACAATAGCAGATCTTAATAAAGGATATTTCATATTCTTGCTTTAATTTCATGTTTGCAAGTTGGTTAGAATGTTTGACTACCACTTGAGCCACCATAATATTCTGTACATTGTATCTTTAACTTTTCCCATTGTTGAAAAAATATTTTAATAAAGTGTATTTCTCTTTCCAGTTCCCAAAAGTCCTGGGGGTGTGGCTTATGAGCGTGTAGTAACACCGCCCGACTGGGTGCTTGACTATTGGCATCCCTTGGAGAAAGCTCAATATCCTGAGTACTTCAAGAAACGTGAGCAAAGGAAGAAAGAATTTATTGCCATGTGGGAGAAGGAGTTTGGAAAGCCTGATCCCAAGGATACACACCATTAGACATTGTGAATAACTGTAATATAGTAAAATAATTGTTATTATTTATACTTCTGTTTCATTTAAATAAGAATATATTAAAAAGAGCCGTGATAGCTCAGATGGATAGCAGCTGCTGTAAATTTCACAGTACGCAAGCCACCTGGGTTCGATCCCTGCCGGAACCAATGAAATAGTTAATTGCAATATTAAGTGTTGATTTACTTCGTGCTCGGCGGTGAAGGTGAAAACATCTTGAGGTAACCTGCATGTTTGAGAAATAAGAAAAAAATATTTCGAAGACGTGAAGTTCCCCAACACACATTGGGGCAGCGCGGCGGACATTTCCTTGCCCTAACCCTCTCAGAAATGAGAGGAGGCCTGTGCCCAGCTGTGGGACGTATATAGGCTGTTACTAGATTAAAAATAACAGCATACATATGTACTTTAGTTTTATATAATCTTTAGCAGACTATAAATCAAGTGTTACTTTTCGTAGACTATCAATCATATATTTTTTTTATAGAATAAGGGTGAAAAATGTGCACACAGTTCACTTGACAGTAAATGAATACTGTGGCCCATAAATATATACATTTATGCTTGATCATGAATTAAAATGCAGATGGGTTGTCACCCTTGGGGGATTAGATGGAATGCCACAGTTCCAGTAGTTTCTGGTTCACTACACTCATATGAAACAGCAGCATTAAGATGCTATTTTATTCTGGTTTTCTGTGAGAGTGTGGCCTTCCCCGGTCAAGGCGACCCATTCATGCAACCATATAGCTGCACCATGGCTCTACCAGATAGGAAATTAGTATGTAGAAGATGATGTAATTCTTTAAAAATTAAAGCTGCAGCAGCACCTATGCAACCGAGCTTGTGTGAAGTGAATAGGTATATGTGATAGAGCCATGCTGCAGCTATATGGTTGTAGCACGAATGGGTCGCCTTGACTGGGGAAGGACCACATTTTCACAGAAGACCAGAATAAAATAGCATCTTAATTCTGCCGGTCTTCGGAGCCTGAATGCAGTGACGAATAGGAAGACTTACACAGATAACTGGGCACAGATGCTTCAGTGATTATCTATGTAAGATAGAACGCGAAGCGACGCTGAACTGCTTCCAATGCTGTGGGCGAGACCACAACACTGTGTCACATCCGCTTGTTCACTGACCAGAAACTGCTTCTCGGGTTGTAGGCGATCGGGAAATGGTAACACCCGAGATCGAAATATCGAAAGTGGTGTCGGGACGTCATGAGTGGGAACAGCATAAAAAACTAAGCTGAGCGTGGGAAAGTATTGCGTTCCGAACAGAGATCCCGGGGCCACTCATCTACACAGCACTGGTGTTGACCATCGTGAAGTTTTAGCTGGTAGAAGTCAGGTATAACCTCGCTGACCCCACATCGAAAGGTTCGTGAGTATTTCTCGATGTTAATAAAAGGTTTAATACCTATTACACAATATTTGGCAGTGTCGGTACTGCTACCATTTTTAGGCAAGTGCAAACTGACTAAAGTGCAGTGGACTTTGGTCAGTTCCAGTGGAAATAGAGTTCAGTGATTGAATACATAATAAAAAAGAACCATTAGTACATATTATACAACCACTGCGTGATAGAAATGAGTTAAGTCAGGCCTCCGTCACTCGCGCAAGGCCCTGCGTTATATGCCTACCGTTCCGCGTATCGTCCTCGATACAACCGACATTGGGCTGCCGCACGCCCGCCTGAGCGCTTGCATCGCGTACGTTTCCCGCGTTTACTCGTCGAAATGCCGAAACCACTTAATTATTGTGCAGTGGATGGGTGTCACGAGTCAAAAAACAAATGAAAAATTGTCATTTTTTTCATTGCCGAGAGACGAACAAAGGCAAGTAGTATTTTAAATTTTATCTTTATATTTGTCACCACTTATTTCTATGAACATAATATGTATAATAAATAACTATGTAAATAGTAAGTTAAGGAGTTCAGGTATTATAAGTGTTGTTTTTATAATAGCTACTAAGTTACCTTACCTAGTACCTACCTACGCAAAGGTAGCCTGCTTTTTTCGTGGACTTGTTTATTTCGATTCCAAATACCTATATCCGTACCTATATTATAATTCGAAAATGTCTCTGTCGGTCACGCTTTCACGGCAGGGCTATACCGAAAAATTAAAAAATGTACAACAATTGTCGTGAAGCGACAATTTAAAAAAAATAGAACCTAACCTAAGTACAACAAAACAACAAAAGTAGAGCCAGAAAACAATATATTTAAATTTTTAAAAGGTATTTACAATTTTATAAAAAAAATGAAATGAGGATGATGATGAATGAAGTGAGAGTATAATTAGATTATAAAAAAAATAAAGGTAAGAGAATAGGGGAATATAGAGTTGTAGTGGAGCCTAAAAGTCGAAGCGACACACGTTGCGATTGTAGAGGTAGGTTTCTTAGCAGCGACGGCACGCAGCGCCTGAAGCCAGCACACGCCGGTTGCGCTTGACGCTTGTAGAGGTAAGTTTCTTAGTAGCGACGGCACGCAACGCCTGGAGCCAGCACACGCAGCGTCCGAAGCCGGCGCACGTAGCGCCTGGAGTAGGTGCGCTCAACGCTTAGAGCCAGCAGTTGCAGCGCCCAAAGGTAGCGCCGGCGGTAGGTGCACTCGGCGCCTGGAGTAAGTAGTCGTAGCGCCCGGAGTAGTGTGGCCCCCGCGCTTGTAGTAGTCTCGAAGCGACTTCCGAGGTAGATGGAGGCTTGTAGGAATCCGGAGTGGTGCGGCTCCCTCCGCGTTTGAAGAACGCTTCGCCGAAGACTTCACGTGTAGGTAGAGGCTTGCAGGATCCCGGGGCAGTGCGGCCCCGGGATAAGGCCTTTAGGAGATACTTCCAATTCGCGAACTGAAGCGAGACTGCCTTTCTTCACCGATTGTTCGGCTTTTATACCTTTCTAGAGAGAACGGAAAAATTATTTAAATTAAACGCAAATTTTTTGTAAATGGTCAAGAGAAAAGAGTATTTATGTGGAATCATCGAAATAGGAACAACAGATCGGTAGCAAATTTGAATATAATTACTATGGAAACGAAATAAATAACAATGTCAAAACATGTCAAATTTTGGTTTTAGGTTTATAATAAGAAAACGGTAAGATTTAAGAGGAAAATGAGATATTATTGATATAGGAAAAAAGGTAGCGCAGCTGCCCACACAAAGCCCAAGATTGTAGAGTTACGGAAAACTAGCTAAAAGATCGAAAAAAGGTAGACTCCATTGACACCAATTTAAAAGTGCTGATAATGTGAAAATACGAAGTAGAAATGATTTGTTATTGTGTTCTTATGGTTTAAAATCGTTACAGGATCCTATGGAAATAAAGGTGATGTAAAATATCCAGTTTTGAGGTGAATGCAGAAAATCGAAACAGAATGGAAAAATGAATTTAAAATAATGTAAAATGATATGTAAGTAGCATAACACTACACAATCATAGCCGTAAAGTTGCTGGAAGTTGCCAAAAATAACAATTTTATAATCGTTCGCTCCGCAACTTCTAGCAACTTTATAGATACCCATAGTTGTCATACATGTTTTTGTTTTTAATAATTTAATTTAGGATCAAATAAAAAAAATCGTATCCAAAAATAGTTTTTTTAGTGTTTCGTAGTAAACAAGGAACCCTTATAGTTTCGCCATGTCCGCTGTCTGTCTGTCCGTTTGTCCACGGCTCTAAAGGCTGTAATTTGACAAGGGTATACGTATTAATCACGCCGACAAAGTGTTAAAATAAAGTTAAAATTAGTTCTGTCTAAGTTATTTGTCTAGGAATAGAGAGGGACAGATAGAAATTATTTTAATTTTTGGATTAAGCTTGGCGATCAGAATCGCCCGCAATGGCGAAGAATAAAGTTTAATACCTTAATGTTTTCTTTTCAGGCGCCGCACATGGCTTGAAATAATAGGGAGGCCTGATTTATTAACAACTCAAACAAAGTCAGCTTGTCATTTTGTTTGCTCGCTACATTTTGACAAATCTATGATAAGATACATACCACAGCTAAAACCTGAAGCGGTACCCACGAAATCACTACAAAATCGACCAAGTACTTCCAACTACGAGGGTGGATTGAAAAGTACTCGGCCTAACACAGATCCATTCAATTCTAAAAATCAAATCTACCCATATTATTTAGTTCAGTTCAGACTAGTTCATTGTGTGAAGTTCGAAACGTGTGCGATAATTAGTTGTGATTTTATAAATTTATTAACAAAGTAATCGGACATAATTTCCGCGAATGGAGCAAATCGAGCAGCGTGCCGTCATTAAGTACCTCCATAAGAAGGGGCTATCATCAAAAGCCATCCATGATGACATGGTCAGTACATTAGGCGATTGTGCTCTGTCATATTCATCCGTCAAAAAATGGATAGCAGAATTTAAGCGTGGTAGTGAGAGTGTGAAAGATGAACCCCGCTCTGGAAGGCCTTCGACGTCAACTACTGACGAAAATATTAAAAAAGTACTTGATTTAATAATGGGAGACCGCAGATTAAAAATTAGAGAGATAGCCGAGATTATAGGCATCTCTTATGAACGAACTCAAAACATCATTGTCAACGAGTTGGGTTTCCACAAGGTGTCTGCGAGGTGGGTTCCGCGACTGCTTTCAGTTGAACAAAAAAGGACGCGATTGACTATTTCACGCGACTGTTTGGAGTTATTTGAAGCCGATGCAGATGATTTTTTGAATCGTTTTGTTACTATGGCCGAAACATGGGTTCATTACTGTACACCGGAAATAAAACAACAATCAAAACAGTGGAGAAGACCTGGTTCACCACCCCCTAAAAAGGCTAAGTCGATTTTGTCGGCAAATAAGGTGATGGCTTCAGTATTCTGGGACTCGAAAGGTGTGATTATGATTGATTATCTTGAAAGGGGTCAGAATATAAACTCTGATTACACGTCACCTTACTACGTCGTTTACGAGAGGAAATAAAAGAAAAACGTCGAGGAATGCTCAGAAGAAAAGTCCTGTTTCATCAAGATAACGCCCGTGTTCACACGTCAGTACAGTCAATGGCTGAAATTCACAACTGTGGCTTTGAACTGTTACCGCATCCGCCGTATTCACCTGATCTGGCACCATCAGACTTCTTTCTGTTCCCTAACCTAAAAAAGCACTTGGGAGGTCAAAGATTTTCGACAAACGACGAGGTCAAAGCAGCTGTAGACGCATATTTTGACTCTAAGGAAGAATCATTTTTTTTCAACGGTCTAAATGCTTGGAAGGGGAGGTGGCAAAAGTGTATTGAACTTGATGGTGATTATGTAGAAAAATAAAAATATAACTGATTTAGTATTTGTTTATTTTCTTGGTTAGGCCGAGTACTTTTCAATCCACCCTCGTACAATACAAATGAAGACTGTAAAAATGTATCGACTCAAACGAAAGAATCATTTATCAACATTCTATCAACAGTTACCATTAAGAGTCCTGATAATAAGTCATCATATGTACAAACTACGTCAGACAACACTATCAACAATACTACACAAACAGCACAAGCTCTTTCATCTGATACACCCAGGAAACGTCATCTTCGAGTTGAATATAAGGAGTCAGAAAAAAAAAAGAAGGAAGCTTCAGCATGAATTAAATAGAATAAAAAAAGAAGTCCAATCAAAAGAATCCGAATGCTACGAAAATTTAAGTTTTAATTGTGGAGATGAAATTACTAAAAAATTTGTCAAACTTCTTGAATGGCAAAGGAATCTGAAAAACAAGTCCAAAGGAAACCGCTACCATCCAGAGTACAAACTTTTTGCGCTAAATTTACTTTTCCAGTCCTAACACATACCGATGTCTGAAAACTTTCATACACCTCCCGAGTGAATCTACCCTCCAACGATTTAATATGGTTATTCCCCCTAAATTTGAAGATCGTATTTTAAATTTTTTGGAAGCAAAACTGAAGTCTTTGCCACAAAATGCAAAATATTGCACATTATGTATAGACGAAATGGTCCTGAAACGGCACTTATATTATGATACTAAGAGAGATGAACTAATTGGCTTACATAATATTAATGGTGAAGTCACTAAAGAAGTCGCTTCACTTGGCTGTGTATTAATGCTTCGAGGTGTAGTTGAAAATTGGAAACAACCCATTGCATATTCCTTTTTAGCTTCACCTAAACATTATAAAGAACTAGAACCGTGGTTGGATGAGGTGATTTTAAAATTATTTAGCATTCGAATAGAAATACAGGCAATCGTTTCAGACCAAGGCTCAAATTTCGCTAAATATGCAAAAGAAGTTAAAAATATCACATCCGAAAAGCCATATTTTATGTTACAAGATAGAAAAATTTATTACATATTTGACGTTCCACATTTGATAAAATGTATCAGAAACAACCTACTTTCAAACGATTTTATTTATAAAGGCAAACTAATTTCGTGGGAATACATAGAAGAATTATATGCTAAACAAAAACAAAAAGACTTAAGATTGATTCCTAAGGTGACTGAGAAACATATTAATCCCAACAATTTTCAAAAAATGCGAGTAAAGTACGCGGCCCAAATTTTTAGCCGATCAGTTTTTGCTGCTATTAGCGTTCTTGTCAGCAATCGTAGTTTACCAGAAGACGCTCAATATACCGGAGACTTTATGCAAGAAATAAATAACATATTCGATGTCCTAAACTCAAGCAAAGTTTCATGCCCTAATAAGTATCAAAAAGCATTTTCGAATAAACAGTATCAGATTGGGATATTAGAAGAAGCTGTAGCAATGTTTGAGAAGATTATAGCCATAGATAAAAAGACAGGAAAAAATAAGACGAACCAAATTCAAACGTTTAAAAATATACAAATTACTATTAAATCTGTAATAATGTTAAGCAGAGATTTACAGGAAAAGGGGATAAAATTCATATATACACGACGTTTAAACCAAGACTGCCTGGAAAACTTCTTCAGAGCTGTCAGACAGCAGGGAGGCAACTGCACAGACCCCACACCTATCCAGTTCACAAGAGCGTTTTCTAAATTATTCCTCAGAAATATGTTGCAAATTTCACGTACTAGTAACTGTCAAGAAGACATTTGTGACTTGCTCCAAAGGTCGGATACCACCACTTTTCTTGAACGGCCGAAATCCGGCCCAGCGCACAAGGCAAGAATACCTTCAGCAATTGCCTTAAACGGCGAAACCGACTACCGTTTTGATATGCCTGCAAAAAATGCGTTAACTTATGTATCAGGGTATTTATTATATAAGTGTAGCAAAAAACATAACTGCACTAGCTTCAATGCTTTGTTACAGGAGAAACCTAATGTTAACGAAACAACACTGTATACTCATTTCAAAGCCTATAATAAAGATTCATCTTTTTATGGTGGGCTAAAAGTCCCACCAGAAACGTTTAATAATTATACTGAAGAATTAGAAAGAGCATTCTTAAATAATTTTGACAACGTCATAATGTATCGGCCTGGCAGCAGCGTGTTACAAATTTTAAAAACTATTGATTTTCCTCCGATTTGCTCCTGTTTTCCTCGTGATTATTTATTAAAATTATTTACGCGATTTAGGATATTTTCCACGATAAGATTTAATAACCGAGAATTCAGAGAAGGAAAAAAATGTATAAATCATTTTATAAAACTGAAACATATTTGATTGACAAATAAAAAATATGGTTATTGCGCAAGATTTGTTTTATTACAATAATTATCATAGGTACAACCCTAGCGCATTCGTGCGATGACGCGCTTGCACGTGAGTCGCACGGCGGTCAACACAATCTCGACTCTTTAAGCATGATCTTATGGTACATTTTCTTCTCGCTGCGAACAGCAGATATTGTTATTAAGATTTTGTAGGCTATTATAGCGTAGGTATTTTCGCTTTTGTATGGGAGTGATGTATCTGTTTAGTAAACTATTTATTAATCTGTGGTTAAGTGATGTTTCTTTACAATATGCTTCTTTGCCACAATACATGTTTTGGCAGCTGCTTGGTGAGACTACTTTTTAAATCATCTGCCTACTGAATAAGATTTCCTAAATTTGCGGTAATCACTACTCTTGGCATATAGCGACAGCAGTATCATAAATTTCACTTCCCGCGCTGCTCCGAAAATATGGTGATTTTGGAAGCGGTCTTAGACTACTACTCATTAACTTCTTAATTCTACTTAGCTGTAGTGATAGTTTACCTTTTAACTTCATTATATATACTACTACTATTATGTATACTTTTCACATTTCCAAAAACAGCTATTTACTTGGTAAAGGTGGGGGGGACTCATGAAGAGAGAGGGGAGACACTCGACTAATGAAAAATACCACTTTAAAGCTAAATATTTCGTAAACGGATTCCTAAATCGAAAGGATGTTCCACACCCCCAATGTTTTTGAAAGACCTATCTAACGATACCCCACACGATGGAATAGACGGGTAAAAAAAAATCATCCTCCATTTACTTGTATGGGAAGTACCCAAAATGAAAATGTTTTTTATGATTTTCTTTCACAGTTTTCTAGGCGTAATTAATATCTATAACTATGCCAAATTACTGATTTGTAGCACCTAAGGTTTCTGAGCAAAAGCGCGGACGGACGGACGGACTGACATGGCGAAACTATAACGGTTCCTTGTTGTAACTGTGGAACCCTAAAAAGTGAATTGAGGTTACAAATTACATTAGAAATCATAAATATTAATAACTTGAAATATTTATGATTTCTAGTAAGTTTTATAGTTTGAGTAATAATTTTTCCAAAAAACAAATACAATTTATAATATTAAAATGGACATTTATTATCGTTATAATAGTTTCATAGAAATATACTTTAGACACCTCTAACCCATTTATGTACATTATTATGTTGGATATAGGCTAGTGATATTCTCTATCTAAAAAGTGTAACAACGAGTTTGATGTAAAAATCAGCATAAAAAGTATAAATATATGCATGTTTAAAAAAATATTGGTACATTTTTGAAAAGAGCAATAGACATAAGAAACTAACAAACTTATTAAGATAAGAAGATATATTAAACTTAAAGCCAATGTTTATAATTAGTTCAAACTTCATTCAGTATTACTTTACTACCATATTTTATTAAATAAATACACAAATATATTACACATATTGGAGAACTTATTATTTATTTAGTTAACATCGCATTCTGCGTCTATAATTTGACAAACTTTGAAATAAAAATAATTTTCACCTTTGTAAAAAAAACTGTTTAAATTTAAAAAAGTCCAATTTGCACACAAAAGTTAATTTTTTAATGAATTCATTGGAATAGTTTACCTAATCAAGACTATAATTAGCTATAAAAATAAACGCGATTGTTCTGAAGTGGAGCACTTGATAACATTTTGTTGTCAATGTTCTGTATTAAAAATGACAATTCAATAGCCATTAATTTTGTTATCTTTATTCCGTTGTAAGTGTGTCATTCATTGTAGCAGTATTCATTATTTAAGAGGTCAGTTAACATCAAGAATTTATCTAAAACACTCAATTAGTCCATACTTATATAATTTAATCAATAATGCTTCAATCAAACCTTTGACTTGCAACATACATAATTACCTTGCAGGGCTTTTGCACTTAAATTCTAATTAAATGTAGTAGCCATGCCTTCACAATGTAGTCTTTACATGGAAAAACAATTTATGACAAGAAACAATGGCAGCTCATTAGAAGCCAATACTAACAGTTATTTTCTAACATTCATTTTAAACATCATTAATTCATCGTTAAGTGCTCAATTCCCGCCAAGCGTGTGTCCTCGACCCCAATTATGGCCTCCAAATACAGTGCCACCAGGGCGTGTGGGTACTCTGGCTTGTGGTGCAGTACCAAATCCTCCAACGTAGCGGGTGTCTGGAAAAATTCGCTTCCTGCAAACAAATAGAATTAAATTTTAGATGTACCCACTTCTATGAGAATTTTAAGAAAGAATGCTATTCCTTAATTATATTATCATTATAAGTTTTATAAGGGTTAACGCTACTTGTATGATGGAGCATGAATTAATTAGATTGACAGGGGGAAGGATAACACAAATATCAGCCCTATAAAAACAACCATAAAGATACACAATTTAAAATTATACTGTGACGTTGCACTGTGCAATAATGTGTCAAAGATCAAGTTAATTAACATGATAACCATTAATTCATTATAATTACCTAACAAAGTCCTGAACATAGGGCTCCCCAATAGATTGCCTCTTAGCGGGATAGTTATCACGCTTGGCAAGCGATTTGACAATTATCAGGAAGATGCTGCTGCCATGTCCTACTTCACTTCTCTTTGTCGCCTCTTACAACACCCACAGAATGTTATAGGATATAATGGATTCTTTTTTGCAGCCACTATACGGCGATATATATATCTGAACCTACATCCATCTTAATTTGATGGCAAAATATTAAACCTATTTTTTTAATAAAATATAAAGATTTAACATTTTATAATGAAATTAAGAAAACTACATCCACTTACAAGAAAGCCGGAGGTGTCAGAAGTGCTGGACCACCAAATTCTTGTGGGTACTTGAATAAAAGGAAGAATGCCACATGACCAATTAAGATGCCAATTAGTTCCATCATGCCACTGTTGAAAAGCAAAACAATTATAATAAGAATTTATAAATATTTTCATTAATAGTATGAGTAATATTAAATATAAAAAATTCTTACCCTCCGCTTAAAACAAGGTTAAATGCAAGCAAAACCCATGGCAAATACATTGCTTTGAACCGAGTACCAAACCAGAAGGAAACTATAACATCTTTATTTAGCTGGCACCATACATACAGTACAGATAATACCATGGGATCCATTAAAATCTAAAAATAAAAAAAACATGTGTGAGTGTCGTGGAACACTCGGTTGGAACGAAGTTCCTTTTGTTGTATATTATTATTGATAAACATATTATATTACTGATTAACAAATACAAATAAATGAATTACTAGTGTCTATTAAAATGAAGCGACATTTAACTTAATATATCTTTCATGGCAAGATAAGATAAAGTGCGACGGAGATGGATATTATTCCATCTCGCTTGCACTATAGAAAGGGGGTCGTGACAGAAAAATCTTACACTTTTCCCACCTAGCCCCATCCATCAAATTCGTACTGTGGGATAAGGAATTTCGTTTCAAAAAGATTCATTCAGACATTTACAGACAGAGTAAAACAACCTAAACTTGCATCTGTGTCTAAACTGAGCAATAAGCTTGTATATCAGGCAATAGTGCTCTTTTTTATGACACAAGCAACAAATGAACTTACAGTTCACCTGATCGCAACTGGCTACTTGTGCAAATGGATATGTCGAGCAAACTTCAAACAAAGAAGATTAAAGATGTGTCACTGCTGAGGACTAAGATGAAGCCTCACAGTAATTAAACTGGCTCTCGTTTATCTTCAAAACCAGGACAAAACAGTACATGTACTGCTTGGTGGCAGTAATAGGATTGTACCTTACACAATTGACTCCTAGCCATAAAAGGAGACATATCACCTAGACCTAGGCTGAGGTCTGTAGACCGTACTTTGACTTTGCTTAGACTTTACTGTCGAGCTAAGACAATGTCTGTATTTATAGATCTAACTTCAAAGTTGTGCTGAGTGCGTGATTTATTTTTTATAGAATAAGGGTGACAAACGAGCACAGAGTTCACCTTATGGTAAGTGATTGCTGTGGCCCATAGACATCTACGTCTATCTTCGTTTGAGAATTTAAGTGCAGATGCGTTGTCAGCCGTGAGGACTAAGATAGAATGCCTCTTTTCCAGTAAAAAGGGTCTCCGGTTCTCTACACTCACCTCACGAAACACAGCACCATTAACCTGCTATTTAACGCTGGTATTCTGTGAGAGCGTGATCCTTCCCCGGTCGAGCCGACCCATTAGTGCTACAACTATACTATTAATATAGCTGCAGCATGGCTCTACCACATATTAAAAACTTAAAGTTACAGTTTATATACGTCCCACTGCTGGGCACAGGTCTCCTCTTATTTCTGAGAGTGTTTTAGGGCAAGGGAATGTTCATCATGCTTATTGCTTATATATGCTTATTAGCGAAATTCACATGTCTTCGAAATATTTTTTTTCTTATTTCTCAGACATGCAGGTTTCCTCACGATGTTTTCCTTCACCGGCGAACACGTGGTAAATCAGCAGTTAAAATTGCAATTAACAATTTCATTGTTGCTGGCGGGGACTTTGCTCAGACTTTACTGTCGAGCTAACACAATGTCGGTATTGATAGAGCTAACTTCGAAGTTGTGCTGAGTGTGCGCTCAGCAAAGCCTAAGTCAACGAAATTGACGACTTACGTAAAACTCACGATATTATCCGAAACCACCGTATTAATTTTCAGTTGTTGTTTTCATGTTACTCTAATTATTTATAACAATAAATAGGTAGTGTCAGGCCACCGTAGTTTTAAATAGCATTCATCCATTTTCTATTCATTCAAATTTATTTTGAATTTCTTTAAATCTTCTTCTTTTATTTTTTTTCTGATTTTGCACTCATCTCATCCGTTCCCGTTCTCATATGCCATTTTTCTATTTTATATAATAATAATTTATTTATGAATTACAATTTGGACTGTTTTCAATTTTAAATATAATTTTTTTAAATTATATACAATAAAATCAAGAACATAATGCATGGAATAAAGCATCCATTAATTTTTGACAGTCTGGACCTTAGCATAAGCTTAGCTTAATCTTAGCCCGATACAACTATAAATTCAGAACCAGAGATTATGCTAAGCTTATACTCAGCTAAGTTTTTCATAAGTAAAGTCTGAGCAAATTCAAAGTACGGTCTATAGATCTCAGACCTAGAAGTGTCAACTCTTATAGTTACCTTATTCACATTTTTATGGATCTCTATAAAATATGTATATTAATTATAGCTTACCGGTAAATTGACCAATAATCCTATTACAACACAGAGGAACCAGTTAAAAAGTAGCATGTAAAAATAGTCAGCAGGTTTTCCAGCAAACATCCCCGTCTCTAACCTTTGTGAATAATTATACAGGAAGTAACAGTTTATCAAGAAATGAAATCCCGTTCCTGGTCCAATTGGATAAAAGAATAAAGCTGTAATTGGTCTCCATATCTGAAACAAAACATTTAAAAAATTTATCTAAGAAGAAATTAATGCTATATATTAAGACTAGCTTTTGTCCATGACTTTATCCACGTAGAAATTATGATTTGATTATGATTATTCATCAATAATTGCACTTTCAAAGTAAATTCCATCACACTCTTTAGGGATGATTTCCATGATCAAAGCTATCCTATTTCTTTCTCTAGGACTCAAACTTATCTCAATACCAAATTTCATCTAAATCAGTTCAGCGGTTTAAACATGAAGAGGTTACATTTACTCATGCGGGGATGAGCAATGTTTTCGCCCACCTTACCTGCAGTACACCCAAACGCCTAACGTGCGCCGGACCTCACAGTTTTATATTGTGGTTACTTTTAAAATATTAGACCAAATTACGTAGGTAGTTTAAAAGACAAAGTTTATCTACTTTGATCATCAGAAGCGATAAAAGTATTTATTTTGATAAAATCCATTTGTTACTGCAAAATGCACATTGGAAATAAAGTATTGAATTTTATTGTAATTATGGTTCACTATTTTGGTAATAATGGCTTACACATAAAATAAGATAGACATATACTGTTGGGGTCTTTTTTGGAGAACTATTTAGCAGAAACAATTCCACCATACATTATATTTGTGTAATTCATACAGCTTTTGCACTGCAAGCCAAAATAGCTCGCAGATGACAGATTTTTTCCAACTTACTTAACACATCATTATATTTTGACCAATTTACAAAATATCTTTATTAATTATAGACCTTGTGTTATTCTGATGTATGAGCTATATTATTATAAAGTTTCTTTAAAATAAATTCAGTAGTTTTTGCGTAGAAGAGCAACAAACATCCATACATTCTCACAAACGGTCACATTTATAATATTAGTAGGAAGTAAGAAGTAGGATTAGTGGGATTTACACATCATAAAGCAAAATTTAATGTTGATGTTCATACATTAATTTAAACAAAACAAAATAAAACTTACTGTCTAGAATGTTCTAAAGAAATTACTAGAACGCTAAGGATGTTGATGGTTTCTGAATTTACAACAATTTAGATATAAGGGAACTTAATAATAAGATGATAGTAAATTCGTATTGATAACTAGTTTTTACACTTTACCTCGAATTGATAGATGAACGCATGCAAATCCAACACAAAGTAATGGTAATTTATTAGACCAAATCGGCCTATTATACTTAAAACAATTGTAAAAGTAAGCCAATAACGTGTAAAGTAGGGTACACTGTAGTACCAGTCTTTAAATTCAGACATTATTTAAGAATTTCTCAAAAACCACTTAATGAAAACGAAGAATCGAAACCAATAAATACTATATTGGTATGTGATAATGAGAGCTAGCGACTTAACAAAGTCTAGTGATGAAACTAGGTGTAATTTTAGCAAGTACACGTGTCCTAAGAGAATTTGTCTAAAACTTTTAGGCAATACTATATTGGAAACATCAATGAATGATATTTTGTTTTTTGACGTAGATTGATTGTTGTTGTTGTTTTTATTCGGTCGATAGAGCAGGCAAAGGAACTAAGCCATACAGTCTTGTCTTTTTATATTATCCTTCATAGTTCACTGCTTAACAAAATGTTGATGCGTCACATTGTGCAGCCCTTGGGAGATTTTGACGGCAACTTGAGCCAGCAGACAGCTGTCAGTTGGCGATGGTATCTAAAGGCGCCTATGCAGACAAACAGCTTATCTTGAGAATCCATCACCATCAGAGCACTTGTTTCACCGTTTCCACTAATAGTTCACATGCGTAGACAGTTAATACATAAAATTACATCACTTTTACATATCAAAATGCACTTCAAACTATTATTTAAACTATAATACAGGAGCAGCAAACCGCCGCCGGTCAAGTTCCCGGCAAAACTCCCTGCTTCCTTATATATTACTATACTCTTTGACTCCCTGACGTAGAACTATGGAGTGTAGAATAGAAGGAGAACCATGTTATAAGGTGCGAAAGTTGAAAAAGTGTCCCACTATCTACTGAAAATAGAGGTTCCAAAACCTACCACAATAGCGCTGGCGAATGAAAAACTAGGATATGAATATAGCTGTTGTAGACGGAGTGAAGTCAACTGAATTAAAATATTTAAAAAATTTCATGACTAGAGTAGTAAGTAAAATGCCAGTATACAAAACCTCAACTATTTACGTAGTACAAAACCAAGCGGATTGGTCGGTCCTTGTTTATTTCACCATCTTATTCTAATTAATTTCGGCGCTTTTTTTAAATTTATCCTATGCTACTGCAACGCCTCCCTTATTGGATGCGTTTTTAGGGACAATTCATATACAGAGATGGTCCTCCTTCTACATAGACTTTGTATCTTATAGACTAAACATTCAGTGACGTCATCAGCGTGTGAAAGGAATGCACGTATATAGTTAGACATAAGAGTAAGGGAGAAGCAAATCTATATTTCTTGTCTTTTTCTAGGTATGCGTTTTTGATTGTTTTCCCTCCTTTATTTGACATTAACGATGTCAAGCTCTTGTGAATAACATTGCTATTATAAGCAAACAGGTAATTGAATTTAGTGTTGTTTGTGGGTTTTTGTTATTAGGTAAGGTTAAAAAGATGGTAAGTTGTAGCATTTTAGGATGCAACAGCATCAGTCAACAAAAAATTGATAATAATACCTTTCATCGGTAAGTTTGTTTTGTACTTACATTTGCTACTTGTACTGATCAATATCTATTGTTTTGAATATAAAGTGTAACATTTCATGTGTTTAATGAACTTTGTGATGTATTTTGTCAAATATTTGGACTCCCAAATTGTAAATTCTTCATGATAATGCTCCTTAATTTGAACGGTCATTCGAAAGCTTAAAGTCATAACAAACGTGTACTTTTTGATTTGGTAGGATTATAGAAACTTTAGGGATATCAGCGAGTACAATAATGTTTTCGCATTGTTGAATAATAATTGTTATTGTGATTAGTAGTTATGTCCATAAATATGAATCACATAATGTTATACATATACATACACTTTTATGTTCAGCTTTAAAGGAAACTCCTTATTGCCCTACAACTCTTCAATCATTTTCCATATTACATAGACGTCACAAATAATATTATGTAAGTATCAACCTGAAAACATGTTTGGATTCAAGTACATAAACATTGGGCAAAGTATATTTAATTTCACAAAATATGTATTGCCTGAAATCAGATGCACAAAACTTTATTGCATTCCATTAATTCTATTATACATTAGCAAAAATTACATTAGAATATTTATTAAAAAAAAAATATGTCATACTAATATAAAAATAAATATAAACATAGATAAAATAATAAATAAATAAATAAGTCTTAATCTTAAGGTACACAATAACACAACAACATAAGATAATATTCTCAATTAATGATGTAGAAAAAATTTGATGATAATATACTTACCGTTACCATTAGTCAGTATCAAAAGTCCAAAGTTATAGTTTTTGTGATAGTTGCCTAGCTTGGCAGGAAAATTGGCAACTGCAGTTATTTGGAGACAAACTGTGTGGGAGGCCTATGTTCAGCTGTGGAGGACATAACTATGTTAGGCTGTAAATGTATTAATTAACAATATCTAAAGCTTAATATGTACATAATTTTTTAAATGTTTGGTATGAGTATTATTATCATTACATTTACATATACTTGCTATTTAATTAAATCAATTGATATTGTATCAATTGTTATAGGTATTGTATTTATGCACAGATACCCATACTTGATTTTTTTTTTTGTTAAATGCCTTGATATAAAAGTGTACTATACATTTAATATATTAATTTCTTTTAAATATATTATTTCACAGCTTTTCTAAGGAATCAGCTATCCGTAACTGTTGGATAATCGCTACTGGTAGTAATTATAGGTAACCAACAAAACTTAGCAGTATATGCTCAAAACATTATTAGCCTCATTGTTTTAGGTGGACTAAATATACTTAACTTATTTAATTTATAATATAATTAAGATATTTTTTTTAAATGTTATAATTTCTTGTTGTATCTTGTTGTTTCTCCACAAGTGATATAAGTTTGACCTTGTTAGTAGTTATGATTTTTAACATTGTTCTGTATGTATTAAAATTGACTAGCATTGCTTATTTTATTTTCAAATGCTGACATTCTGTATTATTAAGAGTTGTAATAATTTGGAAATAAATGTAATAATTATGATAATATCTATTTAATTGTCATAAATAATTTGTACATACACATAACACAAAAAATTGACAAGAGATAAGTATTACCATCTAAGTATAATTTAAGAGTTGTACCTTATTATTTATACCATTAAAATATATTATATACAAGGCATAACGTAAAAATTTATATATATATATATATATATATATATATATACCCTTCTAATCCGATTCTAACAACCAGCACCCAAGAATTTCTGCCATGCAAAGTATAAATCAAGTTTACAAATATATATTTTTGAGAAATTCTAAAGCTACTCGAACCAAGAATTACAACGAATGCTCTAGAAAGAAGACAAAAATTTTGTTAAATTTGTTTATTAATGTGATGAAAAATTAATCAATAATCGTATGTTTATTTTAATGTTATTGAATTATATTTCATACATGATTGTGTTTTCATTTGTTTTACTTAATGTCACATTGTTAATATTTCTAAATGTTGTGTAAGTACACAAAATTTAGTTCTTTTTCCTTTTTATATTTTTATATATTTCATTTGAATAGAATATATATCTTTAGAGTCTATCAAAAGTCTACTGTTGAACATAAACATGATTAGAGTTATTTGACATAGTTTCAACGCTTGGAAAGCGGGTTTTCAACCACTGTTTTTTTTTATTTAACTATTATCAGGAAGATGCTGCTGTTTATCTTCTTTGATGTTTCCCTATGTCGCCTCATACACCACCCATGGAATGATATGAGGTAGCAGATAATCTTACACTGCATGGTAAATTAAAATTGAATATTTTAAAACATTCGTTTTTATTTTATATACCAACATATTACAAAAACAAACCCTTTGTTGATGCTTTACAACGTATATTAACTAAAACATTTTACCACCTTAACCATTAGGTAACATGATTAAGCCACTTAACCATAAGTAAGTCACCTAATAAAGGCCTTCCATAGATATCCTCATAGGATGACTTCTACCATAGTTGCCACGCCTGCGTGAAAATATGCGTTATACTGGTTGGCCACCGCAGTTATTTATTATTTTAAGTTTTCATCGGGAAAGTGCTGCTGCCCCATCCCCATCTCGTATTATTGCTTACGACGCGGGGTAACATCATTCCGTGTACAGACAAATTCTCTTATGCGCCACAACTTGCCGCACACAAGACACTAACTTAGCAAAACATGCAGGAAATCGCGGGAGTAGCCTCTTTACCTTGTTTTGTACTACAAAACCTAAGTGGAAAGCCTTTCCTTTCGGAGGTCTGTGTTCAGCACTGAACTTGTGATGGAATGGTACGTTAAAACATTATTGACTTTTTTTTGTAAAAACAAAACTCGACACGAGGAAATTTTTGTTTATTATTTAATATTTTTATTCTTAATTAATATTTAAGTACATACATAACATATTGTTATTTATTAGCAATATCACACTTTGTGCTAGTAGCGTCTTCACTTAGTGCCGTCGAAATCCAAAGAGTTTATTGAATGTCCAGTAAAATCATCGTTTCGCCGTTGAATACAGAATGATAATTCTGTTTTTACGCCGTTTCCGCCCGTAGTTTTTAGTCACAGAATGTATTTTCAAGAAAAATGAATAAATCATCTGAATTATAAAAGAACATTTTTTATGTTAACAATTGAGTTTTTTGTATGAATGTAAGTGCTGTGAATATAAATAAACCCATAACGGGGGAAATGGAACAATATCTGGTAACCCAGTGAAACTACCTCCCGCCTATTTCTATCTCAAAAGCATACGCGAATGCTTTATCTAGTCAATCCTCAATCTACGTCCTTCTACTCTACACTCCATACGTAGAACGTAGATTGACGGTTGACGCTTACTTTAAAATGTCAAATTGATGCTTTTATTATAAAATTTTTGGCTTAGATGCTTTTCCTTTAAGCTATGTCTTCATTTTATCTCAGTATCAAATGATAATAATCCTTTAAATTACACTGATTCTCAATATGTTAATGCATCAAATTACGTAGCTTTTGAGGAAATTTTGGCGGCAAATCGAGCCAGCAGACAGTTGGCGATAGTATTTCAAGGTGCCCTAGCAGACATACACCTTATCTTGAGATTCATCACATCACAAGCGGAGCACATGAGCAGATATTTAATACAGAAAATCGCACCACTTGTACATATCAAAATCTACTTCGAACCACTATTTAAACAATAATACAGGAGCAGCATGCCGCCGGTCAAGTTCTTGCCAAAACTCCAACTTTAGTTAATGTTAAATAAATGTAACTATAGATGATAAATACAATGTTCTGTGGCAGTACTGCCAACTCGAATTTTTCCAAATCCGTAAATTTGAATAAAAAAGTTCGTAGAAATCCGTAGATACTATTTCAAAATATCCGTAGATCTGCAGACTTCTAAAGAGGATCGATTTTTTTTGTTTTTGTCATAGAATAGATAAATTTTTGGAGAAGTTCTTTCTGTCATGTAAAATTCTTAATGTAAGTTCAATTGTAGTATAACATCGAATCAAGCTGCATATATATATAAGAAGAAAGTACCATAAAAATTTATTGTTTTCTTTTCATAAATTAGTTTTAGTAAAAACAAATAGAATAATTAACACTTAAATATTTGTGAATATTTTGAAGCAATAATTAGACGAATGAAAAACGACGGACCATTTCACTAAAATTAACATAGATAATTTTTTGCTGGTTGCTTTCAGTTTATTTGATAAATTACAGTGGTTCAGACTTGGATGATTTATATAACTGTGAAAAACGAAGCGAAAAGCGAAGATTTATTTGGCAGATATTTTTTAATAATTGTAAAAACTATAAAAATTTGAGACAGCCTGTATTAAAAAAATTTAAGACACAAGTGACAATTCAATCATCTATGAAAATTTTATAAGTGTTTTATAGTAACCTCCTATTTTCCAAGAACTGTTCAAAATTCCAAATAAACTTAATTTTAAGCAAAAATATATGCTATTAAAATTTGAAATTGATTAACCCCACCAAAAATTTTGATATTTATAAGTAAGAAAAATTATTTTTTTTAACATAGATAGCACAGACGAACAGAGAAAGAGAATTACATTGTCGGCTAAGTTCACACTCATGATAAATAATGTTTTTCTTGATAAGTTTTTAAAAATTCCATAGATTTCACCCTCAAATTCCGTAGTTCCGTAGATGATGTCAAAATTTCGTAGATCTACGGCGTAGAGAGAGAATAAACTATACTCCCTCTATGATCTACGGAATTCTTTATGATCTACGAAAAAATCCGTTGAGTTCGCAACGCTGTTCTGTGGCTTATACCCGGAAAACGTCACGTAATATGTCTCAAATATGGAGTGTAGAATACGAGGAGAACCATCTTATAAGGGGCGAAAGTTGAAAAAGTGTCCTACTATTTACTGAAAATAGAGGTTCCAAAACCTACCACAATAGCGCTGGCGTCTGAAAAACTACGATATGAAGATAGCTGCTGATGAACGGAGTGAATCAGTCAGAATTTAAAAAATTTCATGACTAGAGTAGTTAGTAAAATGCCAGTATACAAAATCTCAACTATTTATGTAGTACAAAATCAAGCGGATTGGTCGGTCCTTGTTTATTTCTCCATCTTACTCTAATTACTTTTGGCGCTTTTTCTTAAAATATCCTATGCTACTGCAGCGCCACCCTTATTGGACATGTTTTTAGGGAAACTTTTCATAGTATAGAGATAGTCCTTCTCTCTACACTCCATAGTCTCGAACTCTCAAACATAGAGAGAGATTGTACATACTCCCTCTACGGTCTCAAATTTAATTAAAAAATTTATATTCCTTTATATATGGTGTCCAAGTTATATAAAAATGAGAACAACGTGATATTAATCAATAGTGAAAACGTAAACAAACTGTGAATCAATGTGAAAGTGAATTTTTGATGAATGTATCGTAAAGTTAATACATTGTAACTTCAGGCTGCGAAGGGCTAGAACCCAGAGCCGTGAACTCAGTTAAAAAAAAGTAAAAAAAATTATAATCTATGGTGGCACAGAACACAATTATTCTCTATGGGTGGTGGTGTTATGGGTGCAAAATAATGTTTATTTTGTGTGAAAATAATAAATTGTTCACTATAAATTACTAACTTTTTGAATATACTTTTAAACTAGAGAATTGTCACTAAATTGAATTGTTGGTGAATTGTTCGAAAAAGTTTTGAAATTGAACATGAACATGAAGTCCTTAATAAGAAAAATTGTCTTGGCTAAAAACATTTCATTTACTCGTATAAATACTTCACGACTGGCTTCGAGTGATGCAAAAAAACAGGAAGACGAGTCGGAAAAGGCTGAAGAAATCGTGAAAAGTAAATAAGTTACGACTACGTCTTAACGTTTTTCATTTTTAGGGTTTTTAAGCTCATTATTGGACATTGCTCTTTCCGAAAAATCTTTATCAGGCAAAACATTCCTGTGAACGCTGGGCTGGTACGGGAAAGGTGTATTGGCGAGTGAAGAGTCTTTTACCCCCACTACAATAACACTGCTTATCATATGCAGTCTGGTTTAGCGTTTTTGAAAGGTTTTGATGCCTTCATTCAGTCACCAGAGGCAGAGGCTTGTTAGTCAGTAAGATGTTAGTTAGTGTATTCCCTTTTCACCATTACATATGATTTCACATACCTATGAACTGAGTAAAAGGTGCTAATTTGGGTCTTTGAGAGATACTATATGTTTGAACCATTTATATAGTATGGTTAAGTTTGTAATAGAACTGTGTCAGTTGCTAGAGACCAGAGGGCTGCTTCTTGGCCAAAGGCTAAGTACAACTATTCAGTAAGAAAAAGCAGGTGGCATTTCTGGCACTATACCATAGGGTCTGTTTGATAATTTGAATTTTTAGTTCCTTTTATTGTAATGAATATTGTATATTATTATGTTATGTAGATAAAAAAATATAAAACTGAATTATATACAAGTACAGTATGGCCCCGATAAACCGAACACCATAAACTTACATCCTGTTCGGATTAACGAGGCATTCGGATTATAGTATAGATATTATTCCATCTTCAGGGTCAAAGTCATCCAAATCTTGGCCAGAAGTTTCCTCAGGTTTGAACAACGAGGGCTACAAAGGCTGTCAAGATTTTTTGATCAGATTTAAGAACACTTGTTGCCAACATTGAGCCAGAGTAAATAAGGCATCTTTCATGATGTTTTTTTAAGTATTTCAGATAATGTACATTTGGAATGAACAAATAATGTGTTTTTTTTTAGAACAGTGAAATTTTCGTCACTGCAGATCTTCTGATCAGCACTGCGATATTCTGTGAGAGTTCGGCTTGCACGAGCAGGGGGTGGTTCGTATTATAGAGGCGTTCAGATTATCAAGGGTTCAGATTATCGTGGCTCTACTTTATTTCTTATTTGTTGAAAATTTAAATTTTGATTTCACTTATTTATTCTTTTGTTAACACAATTTTATTAGCTTTGTATGTTATGTAATGGAATTTTTTAATGTAATGTTCACCAACTTGAAGACGGTTGATTGACTTGAAAATTTGCACTTATTAAGGACCGATGACAATACAGTATATTATGAATACATATATACAATATATGAATACAGTCAAGTGTTCTCACTTATATCATCTCAGCTCATGATCAATGAGTGTTGTTTAAGTACTGATCTATGTAAAATAACATCTAAAAAAAAAGCGTCAAAAAAAACTATGTGGTAAAGCCATGCTGCAGCTATATTGGTGGTATAGTTGTAACAGGAATGGGTTGGCTCAACCAGGGAAGGACCACTCTCTCACAGAATACCAGTGTGAAATAGCAGCTTAACACTGCTGTGTTTTGTATGGTGAGTGTAGAGAACCGGAGACCCTTTTTATTGAGGATAGATGTAGATGTCTATGGGTCACAGCAACCACTTACCATCAGGTGGACTGTGTGTTAGTTTGTCGCCCTATCCCATAAAAAAAACTCAAATGATGTAATTAGTTTGCAACTGTAATTTATATATCAGACTAAAACTATCAATATTCATTCTTATGTACATAATGCATATATATCTCAAATATATATGTAAATATTTATTTGTATGTGCATCCTGCAATGCATCTATGATAAGTTTTATAATGTTAAAATTTTAAAAATACCTTTTAATTAAATTATTATAAACAATATACGAGGGGCACACTGAAATGATCAGGAATAAAAAAACCACATGCACGGTATAGCTAAATTGTATTTTATTGTTTTTCGAAGTATTCTCTGTTCAACTTAATGCACTTTTCCATTTGTGCAAACCAATCATTAAAACAGTAATTCCAGTCTGAAGTTGATGTTGACAAAATGGCTGATTTGTATGCTTCCACAGCTGCTTCAGGGTCTTCAAACCGTTAACCGCATAGTAAATCTTTCATTCTAGGGAATGTAAAGAAATTGTTTGGGCTCAGGTCAGGACTGTACGGAGGATGGCTCATCAGCTCAACGTTTTCCTGCTTCGAAAAATCATTTGTCTTCCAAGCTGTATAGGAGCTTGCATTATCGTGATGTAAGATGATGCGACGTTTCGGGTTATTTTTTCGGAGTTCGGCTATCATTTCTGGCAAACAAACCGTGATATACCACTCAGCAGTAACCGTTCTGCGTTCCTGTAAAGGAATTGTAGCAACATGCCCCTTTTTCGAGACAAACGTAGCGACCATTTTCTTTGACGCGCTGTAACAGCGAACCACTTTCGTTGGTTTGACCTCGTCTTTGAAGACCCAAACTGCTGACTGATGTTTTCTTTCAGGTTCGTATGAATAAATCCATGATTCGTCACCTGAGACGATATTATAAACGGCATTTGACTTCCCTCCATTGAAGCGTTGCAGAGTATTCTGGCACCAATCTCCACGAGCCGCCTTTTGCTCTTCGGACAAATTGTGGTGAACCCAGCGGGACACTAGCTTTCTTACACACAGCTCATTTTGTAATATCGACTGAATTGCAGTCATTCCGATACTGATAACAGCCCGAATCTGCTCGTATGCCACATGACGTTATCTAATATAATAGTTCGCGCAGCTGCGATGTTTTTAGGCGTGACCGTTTTTCTTGGTCGGCCTGCAGAAGAAACAGTGCTGAACGATACACGACCGTGTCGGAACTCGGCATACCAGCGGAATATTGTCGTTTGACTCGGTGCTTCAACATCATAAATCGAAACAAGTTCGCTGAGACATTTATCTTGAGATAAGCCGCGACGAAAATTGTGATAAATTATGGCACGGAAATGTTCACGCGTGAGCTCCATTTCTGTTAACGACGTGTCAACTTTAAACCAACATAGGTTTTGTTTTTAAACATATTTTTTTAATTGTTTGAATGTCATTAAGATTCTAAGAGGCCAGTATTCAAATTCTAAAAAAGGTTTTATTGTAACTCAATCCGAAATATTCTATTCCCGATCATTTCAGTGTGCCCTAGTAAACTAACTTAAAATTATCTACTGAATTTTAAATTATTGAAGCAATAAAAATTGCTACGGTGCCAGATGGTACTAAAACCAGCATAAGATTAATCCAAGAGATACATTTTTTACATAAGTCAGTGTTTGACCGCAATCTCATCAGTAAGTGGTTATGTACCTCTAGATGGTAAATCGCACTGTCTTAGCATAACAAAAGCCTATTCACTCTTGCCCTGAAGATACCCAGATTGTAATTGGATGGATGGACAGATGTCAGCATATTATTCCACTCCTTGGCTTTTTCCCTTTCTTTGTTTAGTTCTAATGTGTGGAAATATGGACAACAATCACACAGGGAAACATAATTTAGGCTATTCATGAAATTTGAAAAAATATTTCCTGAAGATGGCCCAAGATAAAACCAGATGGTTAAAATCTTGTTTTTCTTTCTCCTTCAATATGGCCTTTGGTATTGTGGTTAGGTCATAATATTTCTGCTAATGTCAGGTCTTTGGTCTGTCACATTTTGTCTTGACCTTCTCGGTATGAAAGGAATTTATTAGCTGACAATGTGAATGTAAATTTAGAGTTATGGACAACACAATACAGTACAAACTTCTAGTTATGGGAGGGGAGTAGCCTGAGAAGGGGTTATAGAATTAAATCTCAAATCAAGGATAGTTAAAAGGGTATTAAGTACATTAACTGGTCGAGGGGTTGTTTTTGGAAGGATGTTATATAAAGAAATCGGGTGATTTTGACAATAAAATAAAAAGTAGGTTGGAGTATCTTCATCAAGACCACATTCACATAGGGAATTTTAATTTTAGCTAGAATATTGGAAGTGGTAGAGCCACGCTGCAGCTATAGTATGATTGTAGCATGAATGGGTCGGCTCAACCAGGACCATGGTCTCACAAAATAGCAGCTTAATGCTAGTGTGCTTCATATGGTGAGTGTAGAGAACCGGAGACCTGTTTTACTGGAAACAATACATTCCATCTTAGTCCTCAGGGGTGACAACGCATCTGCATTTTGATTCTCAATCGAGGTTAATGTTGATGTCTATGGACCACAAGCATCCACTTAACCAAGGTTTTCATGGTGCTTGGGGTTAAATTTGACCGTACTGGCAACCTTCGATAAATACTGTTGTAAATCTCACAACATTCAAGAACTTTCACTAATTAATAGCAACCACAAGTGTAAATTATCCTTTTTCATATTCAGATATTACTGTTGAAAAATACAAAGGAATTACAACACTGAATATTGACCGTCAAAGAAAACGGAACAGTCTTGATGAAGCCACACTGAGGGAGATGGCCGCAGCAATAGAGGCTTTTGAGAAAGACTCTGAGGCGAAAGTGCTGGTGTTCAATGGTGAAGGTGGATCATTCTGCTCAGGATTTGATTTAGATGAGATGGGAGCAAAAGGATACAATACACTTTTAGATGCTGCTGTAAGGGCTTATTTTATTAATTTATTCTATTTGTACTAGGTATGGTCGGTTACTGCTGCCTGAGTGTGAGGAGAGACATAGCGCTTATCAAATATGTTTGGAAAGTATTACGTGGATGGATGCATCACCCAGATGTGCTCGCTGCGCTATAGCTGCGTGTACCTAATTACGTGTCTTGTCATTGCTGTCCCCCATTACTCCTCGTGCGCCCTGCTAGGATGAATTTGCTTCAGAGTGCACCATTATCATGTGCTATGTTAATTTCAACTCACAGGATATTGACATATTTACATTCAGTCAGACGAAATTCATAATTGCAACCATGAAGCAAATACAAAGAGGAGACGGCATGAGCAACTGTGCACTGTGATTCTAAGTAGGTCCTGACGTCATCATAGAGGGCATGGCTTTAGTTAGTATACTGTCTGCATTCGTTCTGTGCGCTTATGTGTTGAAAATCGCAAATCCGTGTATTTTCGTAGTATTATGAAGAAAAGGATGAAGTGTTGTTTTATCGTGTAAAAACTACTAAGATAGACGCTCTGATGTTATGGATGGCATCACATTTCATTTGTAAGTAATTTTACACCTAATTTATTAAAATAGTTCTAGAAAAATCTCTGCATCGGCTTTCAAATGTAATTAAATATATTCGACACTAGATGGTGACACTTTGTGTAATAGGAACTAAAAATATAAAGGTACGTAGAGCTGAGTATTGGTAAAATAATCAGACGAAGGTGTTGAAATTTGTTTTGCATTCAGTCCTAAAGAATTATTAATCGCCAAATTATTATTTTCATAGTTTTTATAATAATTTTGTGAATAGGCCGCCATCTACCGTCAAGGTAGCTAAACTACATTGTCACACCGATGTGGAACGATTTGAATGGTTTACTATTTATTGGTAGATGTAGATAGTGTAAAGTGGGCGAGGCTTAACATCCCCTCACCCCGCAAATTGTCACGCGTTGTTCTATACTGAAATCTAATTACAACACCTCCTCTTTGTATTTGCTTCATGATTGCAACATACAAATGCGTTAAAATGTTGAGATGTTATTCATTATTTTATAGTCATTTATTAGTACTTTTCTTATATTTAGGTTAGCTATAGCACCACATTGGTTAATATAACTGTTATGATGTTATAATTGTGTAATAAATAAATAATTGAATAAATATTGTATTTAGTTGTGTAAACAAAATAATAATAATCACAATCTAATTATCAATTCCCGGCACTTGAAATCTGCTGTGTGGCTTCAGATTTAGAGAATTCATCATCCTATGGGTGTCATTAAAATTAATTATGGGTAATATTAAGTAGATCTAGTTCTAGAGGTTGGGTAAACCATTACAGCATATCAGTGTCGTCTGCTGAACATAGGCCCGCCTACAGATTGTCTTATAGGCGGGATATTTGCCATAGTTGCCATGCTTGACGTATGGTTTTTTTTGCAACCACAGTTTTTCATCTTATAGTTTAATTTAATTTGTTGCGTCTTACAACACCCACGGGACGAATGGGGGAAGTGATTATTCTTACATCGCCACAACACGGTGACAGGTTGTGTAAAACCATCTTGTAAATGCCAGCTCAGTGCGGTAAGCATGGGTAAAATATAAAAGTATAAAGGACATGCATGACTTATCCATTACAACCTATTAAAGTCCACTACTGAACTTAGGCCTCCCACATAGATTGCCTCATAGGGAATATATTTACCATAGTTGCAATGCTTGGCAAGCGAGTTGGCGACTGCAGTTTTTGATTATTACGAGTTATTACTAGAAAGATGATGATGCCCATCTGTTACAGTTTCCCTTTGTCGCCTCTTACGACATCCAAGGGACGATATGGGATTTTCTTACACGGCCACTTCACAATAAATTCTATCTTTATTGTGCAATATATTGTTAATTCTATATATTTATTTAATTACAAATAGTTGGCAATAATTTTAATATATATGCTATTTTATTCCTCGGCAATGACATTTTAACATTTTATATAACATAGTTAAGAGATATTGTCATTAAGCTCCCTTGACTGCCCTAGATAAATTATTTAATTATTTTAGTCGCGACTCCTTCGTCGACCTCTATGTGATAAACCAACCATTGCGGCAGTAACTGGATATGCTGTGGCCGAGGGATTTGAATTGGCACTAGCTTGCGACCTTCGCATCATTGAAGATACGGCTGTAGTAGGATGTTTGGGCCGCAGATATGGTAAAGTATCTGTTACATTTTATTATATTTTATAGTATTGTAACATAAAATGACAAACCAAATAGTCCACCCAATAAATGTTAACTAAAGCAGTATCCACTATATCCATATTTAAACAAATGCTACAAAGGCATTTCAGCTTAGTCTCCAGTATGTTATAACATCTCCATCCCATTTTAATCAAAATTCGGTTCCACGGTATCGTGGAGGCAGTTTACATACATAAATTTAATAAGGACCAACATCCAGACCTGGTACAATTATTTGTAGGCCATACAAATACTTGTTCCGTGCGGGATTCATACCCACGGCCCTTAGCGCGGCAACTCATTACTAAGCCACTGCGCCCCCACGAAACAGAAGACAATCCTAATCTAGTGGTAACATTTTTTTAAAATAATATCTAGCGACATCTAGTGAGCGGAAGATTATTAGCCCTAGTATCAAACATATAAAGTCCAAGTGGCAACATTTATTATCTTATAACGTTCTATGTGATAAACAATAAATCAAAGAATTACTTTACCTATTCATATTACAAGGATGTATAGAATGAAACTTTATTTGTAAATTTTTACATTCAACAATTGTTTGTTTTATACAGGTGTGCCACAAAGTTTATACGGTGCTCGTCGTCTAACCTCCTTAATAGGACTGTCCCGTGCACTAGATTTGCTCATGACTGGCCGCCTTATATCTGGTACCGAAGCACATGCCATGGGTTTGGCGTGTAAACTCACCTCTACTGGCACTGGTAATACATTATTTTTAATAACTAATTTTTTATCTCTATAATTAAAAATCAATTGTTGTCCGTTAGTCTCGCTAAAATTCTAAACTGGCTCGACCGATTCTAATAAAATTTTTGGTTTGCGTTCGAGTGGGTCCCTGGATGGTTTAGAAACACCTATGTCCCGGTAGGTGGCGCTGTTGTCGCGATCTCGAATCGGTAACTCATTCTTTTTTTATAGAATAATTGTGACAATCGCATTTACCACGGGGAGTGCACTGAGGAATTGTTCCGATTAATCCCAGCCGCAAAATCCCGATACCATCCACACCATCTGGATGCTTGGCGGTCCACCACTGTACGTTTTACTAGGAGTTTTCTTCCGCGTACGACCTCTCTGTGGAATAGTTTACGGAATAGAATAGTTGCTATTTTCCCGGACCGATACGACTTAGGGACCTTGAAGAAAAGAGCTAACTCCTTTTTAAAAGGTCGGCAACGCACCTGCAATTCCCCTGGTGTTGCAGTTGTTCATGGGCGGCGGTAGTCACTTACAATCAGGTGAGTCGTATGTTCGTTTGCCCCCTCTCCTATAAAAAGAAATCAAGCACACAACTCACCTGATGATAAGTGGATGCTGTGGCCCATAGACGTCTACATCTATCCTTGATTAAGAATCGAAATGAGGTGATCGCAACCAAGCTATTTCTTATTTGTATGGTGTTGTTAATTGTCTATCATAATATGTGATTGTAAGCAGCTATTTTAAAAAAAAAGTCTCGCTGTGTTTCTTGCTTGTTCTTCCACGTTAATAAAAGACCGAGGGTTTTCCGAACCAGTGGTATATTAAAAAAAGAGTGACTTTCAATAAGTATTATTTATAATTAAGTTACTATTTCAAAAATGCAGATGCCACCCCTGAGGTCTTATATGGAAAGCTTCGTTTCCAGTAAAAACAGTCTCCGGTTCTCACTCACCATACGAAAATTTTATTCTACTAAGGAATCATCGTTAAGTCTACTACAGCATTGTGATGTACAGTCTGCAGTGAGGTGCTTATGGGTTAACATCTTGTTTTAGCACTTGGCGAGTCGGTGAAGCTAGCAAAGTCCCTAGTTAAATTCCCACAAAATGCACTAATTATGGACAAACTGGCGGCCGTCAACTCACAGCTGAACCCCAACAGTGAGGAGAGCATGCGAGACGAAGCCGTAATATCAAGCTTGTTGGGAGGTGCGATAGAAGATATTGACGAAGGAGTCAAAAAGTTTAAGAAAGGTATGGTATTTTAATCAATGTCATGTAAAGTATACGCTTTACTTTCGGTGTCATCATCATACGCGTGTGGTGGTGGAGTAAGACAATTTATTAACCCCTTTTTTATTATAATAAGCTTGTGCCTGACCACTAATCCCACCTGATGGTAAGTGGTCAAGTGCACTAATTTAGCTGAACAAAAACCTATTCACTCTTGCCTTGAAGATAGAAGAGACCTATATTATAATGGGATGGAAAGATGGATGTTGGCATATTATTCCACTCCTATGTTTTTATTTATGATCATAAGTTACTACTATAGAGAATGAAAGATCTCATTGATCGCCACTGACGAACAACTTTCTCTTAAATGCCAAGTATAAAGTATCTAGACTGTCAATGAAGGTAAGTAAGATTTATGGTACTGCTATCATATTTCTGATTACAGGAAATAATCTCGATAATGAGGGAATCCCAGCCGTATACTGTTATGGGCTTTAAATGGAACTGGATCCTTGGATTGCTTTCCATCCATTCGTTACAGCCTGTGAAAGTCCACTGCTGAACATAGGCCACCATAATAGATTGCCTCATGGGATATTGCCTTAGTTGCCGTTTTGTTTTATTTTAGATTTGTAAGCGTGTTGTTGATATCCGCAGTTTTTTTTTATTATTTAAAGTAATTATCAGGAAGTTGTTGCTGTCTATCTCCTGTTTCTTTTCCCTTTATCCCCTCTTATGACACACTGGACGATATTTATTTATTTAGAAAACCAACTGCTCTTATGAATATACAATGATAATAATTTATAAATGGTTACAACAGCCAATTATAGGTTTCCCTGTATAAATCTTAAATGGTATCTCCTACTCTATGGGGTAGTGGATATTCTTACATCGCCACTACACGGTTAACGGTTGGATTACTTTATGCCTATGCAAAGATCGTGTATATTACGAGCCTCTTGACTTCTTTAATAAAATAATATCTACATTTTATTTGCAGGTATAGGTAAACACGGCAAATTTTACAGACTGACAGATGTGCCCCTTAAAGACTGGGAACTAGAGGAGACGTTTGACGAAGTTAAGATTAAATCCGACAAGGAACATAAAAAATCTTAAAATAAAATATTCAACATTTAGCTTTAAAATTTCATTGTTGCTTTGTTAGTGTTATTTTGTAATAAACATAGTCTAGTCCATTCTAAAGCTTTATTTTAAAGACCTTCGTATTAAATGATCTAATGGCAATACAGCATTAGACAGTCCGACTTCCAAAGACTTCTATGTAACTACTAGATCGGCAATTCAGAACAAAAACTGTGTTACAGCTGTGAGTCGCGCGGGCGGGTAGCTGTCACATTAAATATGACACGCAGTTATATTTTCATTTGCGACAGTTACTGTTTTTAGGTAAATACGAAATACATTACAAATGTAATTTTAAAATAAAACGTTGACAAAGTGCACACATACATAATGAAAACGTTTTTTTTAGTCAAATAAAGTCAGTGTTAGATTGTCGAAAACAACGTTTGCAGTTTACAAAACAAAGAATAGTCTTTTCGTCTGTTCGCAGTCGACTAAAGGGGTTACGGAGAAATGACTGTAACTTAGTGCGCAATGTATTAAGTTCGCAGAGCTCGTCTAGTTGTATAACTTAGAAGTTTTTGCTGACTCCAGTATCATTAAAATAAATATAAATAACACCTTTTGTTTGTTGCTTTGATTTGTTTTTATTCATCAGAAGTAAAAATATGTGAAAAAAAGTTGAAATTATACATGTTACTTAATTATTTACTTTAAATTGATAACATTGCTTATTTTTGTTAGAAATTATGTTATTAAAAATTACTAACATTGCTTATTTTGTCCCATATTGGTTTGGGATTTTATAGGTCCCATGTTTATATGGGATATATAACAAAAAATAATGTGCCAACTATGTTACTTGCCTAACATGTTTTCAAAGGCGACAAACAGTGGGTTATTGGGTTTGGGAGTGTTTTTCTAACCCCCTATCATATTTCACAATTTTCCATGTAAATCGCTTTTGGACTCTACTCCCTCGGCGGATACAAGCGTGAGACTGTATGTATTGTTTATTTTATGTATGGTTCAGCCTGCGGTCTAACCAAAAAATTTTTTTTTATCATCTGATACAACGACATTATAATTATGACACTTTCATTTTTCAGTTTAGTGTATTAAAATAAAACAAATTTTAAGAACTTTATGGCATTTTCATCAGTTCATTGTAAGCTTTAAAGGTCTACCCTTATAGGCCTCCCCCATAGATTGGATCTCCTCATAGTGGAGATTTTGCCATAGTTTCAACCATGAAGCAAATACAAAGAGGAGACGGCATAAGCAACTGTGCACTGTGATTCTAAATAGGTCCTGACGTCACCATAGTGGCCGTGGCTTTAGTTGGTATACTGTCAGCATTCGTCCCGTGCGCTTATGTGTTGAAAATCGAAAATCTATGTATTTTCATAGTATTAATAAGAAAAGGATGATGTGTTGTGTTTTATTGTGTAAAAACTACTCAGATAGACGCTCTGATGTTATTGTTGGCAGCACATTTCATTTCATTCATTAAAAATAATTCATTTATTAAAATAGTTCTAGAAAAATCTCTTTGCGTTGGCTTTCAAATATAATTAAATATATTCGACACTAGATGGTGACACTTTGTGTCATGTGAACTAAAAATATAAAGGTCCGTAGAGCCCAGTATTGGTAAAATAATCATACGAAGGTGCTGAAATTGGTTTTCCATTCAGATATAAAGAAATTTTAATCGCAAAATATTATTTTTATAGTTTATAATCATTATGTGAACAGGCCGTATTCTATCGTCAAGTAAACCTCATAAAGATAACAAAAAGACAGTGCCGTAATTAGAATTCAATTATTTTATTAAGCAACTGTGCACTGTGATTCTAACTAGGTCCTGACATCATCACAGTGGGCGTGGTTTTACTTAGTATTCTGTCAGCGTTTGTCCTGTGTGCTTATGTGTCGAAAATCGCAAATCGTTGTGTTTTCGTAGTATTAAGAAGAAAAGGATGAAGTGTTGTGTTTTATCGTGTAAAAACTACTCAGATAGACGCTCTTATGCTATGGATGGCATCACATTTCATTTGTAAGTAATTTTACACCTAATTTATTAAAAAGATTTATTAAGAAAAATCTTTGCGTCGGCTTTCAAATATAGTTAAATATATTCGAAATATATGGCGACATTTTGTGTCATGTGAACTAAAAATATAAAGGTACGTAGAACTCAGTATGGGTAAAATAATCATACGAAAGTGCTGAAATTTGTTTTGCATTCAGACTATGGAGTATAGAGATTCAGACAAAGAAATTTTAATCGCCAAAATATTATTTTTATAGTTTATAATCATTTTGTGAACAGACCGCCATCTATCGTCAAGGTAGTTAAACTACCTTGCAATATCGATTTGGAACGATTCGAGTAGTTTTACTATTTATCGGTAGATGTAGATAGTGTAAAGTGGGCGGGGCCTCACCCCGCAGTGTCACGTGTTGTTATATAGTGAAATCTAATTACAACACCTCTTTGTATTTGCTTCATGGTTTCAACCACGGAGCAAATACAAATTTACTCCGTGGTTTAAACGCTTTGCAGGCAGATTTAGGTTATCGCATCTAGCTTTAACTTATTTTTAACTACCGATGTTTCGAACGTATTGTAACACTGGTCATAGTACCAATAACGGCAGGTATATTTTAGTTGAAGATCCTTTAAAAAAAATCATTCTAATTACCGAGCGCCATCTAACGGCGGACAGTTGAAGACTTCCGTTCCGATAATTCCAATTTTAACCCATGAAGCTAATACAAAGGGGAGACGGCATAAGCAACTGTGCACTGTGATTCTAAGTAGGTCCTGACGTCATCATAGTGGGCGTGGCTTTAGTTAGTATACTGTCAGCATTCGTCCTGTGCGCTTATGTGTTGAAAAAAACGCAAATCGATGTATTTTCGTAGTATTAAGAAAAAAAGGATGAAGTGTTGTGTTTTATTGTGTAAAAACTACTCAGATAGACGCTCTGATGTTATGGATGGCATCACATTTCATTTGTAAATAATTTTACACCTAATTTATTAAAATAGTTCTAGAAAAATCTCTGCGTTGGCTTTCAAATATAATTAAATATATTCAACACTAGATGGCGACACTTTGTGTCATGTGAACTAAAAATATAAAGGTCCGTAGAGCTCAGTATTGGTAAAATAATCATACGAAGGTGCTGAAATTGGTTTTGCATTCAGATATAAAGAAATTTTAATCGCAAAATATTATTTTTATAGTTTATAATCATTATGTGAACAGGCCGTATTCTATCGTCAAGTAAACCTCATAAAGATAACAAAAAGACAGTACCGTAATTAGAATTCAATTATTTTATTCAGTAATCCAACTTTCAATATTAAAATGAAGGAAATTGTACTTAGGCTGATTTTCACGAAATGTTTAAGTTATATTTAAGTGACATTCTATATGCAAATAATCACTTAAGTACAATTTAATGTTCTTAGATTGGCATTAAAAAAAGTGCATTCGGATGCCTAATTTGGAATAAAATATTTATATTTTAATTGATTTGTAAATAAAATTATATTAATTATAATAATTTGTCTATTATTTGTTCTCCCTCAGAGATATTAAGTAGTATAACCCACACATAAATAATAGTCCAGCCGTTTCTGCGTGAAAAAATTACACATACACAGTACATAGTTAGTGTGGAATAAGCTCAAGGAGACAGAAAGAACACACAAAATTTCGCCTTTATAATATTAGATAAGTAGGATATTTAGTTCCAAATTAAATATCCTACTTAATATTGAACATAGAATATTTAGTTTCAAAGAGACTTTATTTTATGAATAAAATATAAGGTTGACTTTCGCGAAATGATAAACATATTTAAATTGTATTTAAGTGATTCTTTGCATATAGAATGTCACTTAAATATAACTTAAACATTTCGTAAAAATCAGCCAAGTACAATTTCCTTCATTTTAATATTGAATGTTGGCTTACTGGGTAAAATAATTTAATTCTAATTGCGGCCCTGTCTTTTTGTTATTTTTCTACGAGGTTTACTTGACGATAGATGGCGGCCTGTTCCCAAAATTATTATGAAAATTATAAAAATATTATTTTGGCGATTAAAATTTCTTTGTCTGAATGTATTTGCTTCATGAGATAGACGCTCCGATGCTATGGATGGCATCACATTTCATTTGTAAGTAATTTTACACCTAATTTATTAAAATAGTTCTAGAAAAATCTCTTTGCGTCGGCTTTCAAATATAATTAAATATATTCCACACTAGATGGCGACACTTTGTGTCCTGTGAACTAAAAATATAAAGGTACGTAGAGCTCAGTAATGATAAAATAATCATACGAAGGTGCTAAAATTTGTTTTGCATTCAGACATAAAGAAATATTAATCGCCAAAATATTATTTTTTAGTTTACAACATTTTGTGGATATGCAGCCATCTACCGTCAAGGTAGCTAAGCTACATTGCAACATTGATATGGAAAGATTCGAGTAGTTTTACTATTTATCGGTAGATGTAGATAGTGAAAAGTGGGCGGGGCTTTGCATCCCCTCACCCCGCAAATTGTCACGCGTTGTTACATAGTGAAATTTAATTACAACGTCTCTTTGTATTTGCTTCATGTTTTAACCACCGTTCGCTTTTCGCTAGCTAGTTGAAGGAGTAAGATAAGACAGAACTCGATTTGTCTGGAGTAGGCCGTCAGCACGGTTTGATATGGGAAGGATTAATATAATACCAGTTTGAAACAGCAGTATAATGTTGTGTATTCTATTGTGATTGATGAAAACTGCATACTCCTTTACTGCTAATAAGGCATTTCACCTTTATCCTAAGAGGTGACAATAAACATATCTGCTTTGTGATTCTTATGGGCGACAGATGTACATGTCTATGGCCCTCAGTATCCACTTACCATCAGGTGGACTGTTTGCTCGTTTTTAACTCTATAAACGTTCTATAACACGTTGTAAACAAAATAGATGTAAATACTAATGATAATTATGATTGTAATGGGAATTAGGCATAGGATTGATGCAAGGATGTAACTGTAACATCTCTAATATTTCAACATGTAGAAATACAAATACGAAAATCTTGCCCACAGTAGTGCGAATATAGTACCACCGTTAACTTACCTTGCTTCAGTAAATTGTAAATACAAACTAACAAGTGATCAAATGTAAAACTGTAAAGCAAATACGTACTGAAAATATTGAAAATTATAAGTGTTGTTGTGTAAATATTCTGTTGTTTCATTTTCAACTACTCAAGGGTAAGTTTTACGCGGTACAGCCACGCTGCAGCTATATTAGTTGTAGCACGAATGGGTCGGCTCAATCGGGGTAGGGACACAGAATACCAGCTGCAGTGTTTCGTACGGTAAGTGTAGAGAACCGGAGACCCTTTTTACTGTAAACGAGACATTCCATCTTGGTCCTCAGGGGTGACAACGCATCTGCCTTTTGATTCTTAATCGAGGATAAATGTAGATGTCTATAGGCCACAGCATTCACTTACCATCAGGTGGACTGTGTGCTCGTTTGTCACCCTTATTTCATTAAAAAAATCTACAACCTAGCTACATAAATATGCTGCAGATATATTATGGTTATAAAACGAAAGGGGGGTCGGCTCGACCGGGGAAGGACCTCGCTCTCATAAAAAAGCACTAGTGTTGCGTATAGTGATTGTAGAGAACCGACAACGCTTTTTACTGGAAACTAGGCATTCCATCTTACGTCCTCAGGGGTGGCAACACATCTACATTTTGATTCTCAATCGAGGATTGATGTAGATGTCTATGGGCTACAGCATCCACTTATCATCAGGTGGACTGGGTGCTCGTTTGTCACCCTTATTCTATAAAAAAAAGTTCATTAATTCATTTCCTATAGATGGACTACGGTAAGAAACATCCGTAACTGTTGGCCATATAAGTGCCAAAGCCCCTAATAGAAATGGAGATATTTAGGATTTTCTCCTGTATCGTGGAGGCAGTTTACAAACACAAATTGCACAAGAACAAACATCCAGACCCGGAACAATTATTTGTAGGCCATACAAATACTTGTTCCGTGAGGGATTCGAACCCGCGGCCTCCAGCGCAACAACTCTTTGCTAAGGCACTGCGACACGGAGCTGTCATTTTACACTGGTATAGGCTGAGAGCGTGGTTCTTTCACAGTCGAGTCGATCCATTCGTCCTATAACCATAATATAGCTGCAGAATGATTATATAGTTAGGTTGTAGGTATTGCTTTTTGACTTTTTTAGATGAAACAAATACTAAACTTCCTCAGTAGAAGTCCACATCTGGACTAGGGGCTCCCCCGTTGTGTGGTAAATTCCCATATTTTACGTCTGACTTAAATAAGATTAAAGGTTATACCATCATTTACCAGAATGCTATAAGGCTGTCTTCACATTTACTGTAGACGCCTCAGATGACACCACGGAGCAAATACAAAGAGGAGATGGCATAAGCAACTGTGCACTGTGATTCTAACTAGGTCCTGACATCATCACAGTGGGCGTGGTTTTACTTAGTATAATGTCAGCGTTTGTCCTGTGTGCTTATGTATCGAAAATCGCAAATCGTTGTGTTTTCGTAGTATTAAGAAGAAAAGGATGAAGTGTTCTGTTTTATCGTGTAAAAACTACTCAGATAGACGCTCTGATGCTATGGGTGGCATTAGTCTTGTGTAGTTCGCGAACGATGAACGATTAGGAAACTTATGTTGCCACTGTACTAGAAGAAACGTTTCCGAATGCCGACTGTTAATCGGTCTAACAGTTCTTTTCGTTTACCTACACTCGCAAGAGGCCAACGCTAAACCGTGCATGCGAGCTATGAAGCAAAGAACGACGCAGGCAAACAGATCAACCCAGAATCGGTCAGTAGTCGCTCAAGGTAGACATGGCGTTAAATAAAATATTGGATATAAGGTTAATTTAAAATAATTATTACAATGCTTATTTTTAGACATGTGAAGCCACAATTTTAATGTCATATATCAAAAGAATACATGTATTGACGTTTTTAAGGAATATTTTCATTCGAATAACACTGCTTTGTAAACCGCCATCTACTCCATTCAACAGGTACTAAAGTCATTTTGTTAAGGAAAGTTAATTGACTCTCAAGGTGGCACGTAAAGAAGATGCTAGATGGCATAAATATAAAATTATAAATCACTAAGGTAAGAAATCGATCGCAGATTGTTTTGAATGGACTGAAATATGATAATTTTATTAATTATGGTTAATTTTATTTATTTATTAAATTTGTAATTTTATTAACTGGTATTATTTTAACAGTTAAAATATATATTAACCATCTTTAATTCAAGGACAAGAGCCGATGAATGCCTCTCTGACTCTGTAGCTAGCTACCCAAATCACCTAGTAAGTTTACAACAAATCCCTGCTCTCTGCTTGGCCTTTTACCATAATACGCAGTGGCTAATTAATGTATGTAGGTATAGATAAATATGGTATTGCAATACATAAAAATGGTATAATATTATCTTTATGCTATTAACTAGAATGACAGTCCTAAGCCTCTTCAAGTATGAAGGGAAATCAAATATTATGTCAAATTTTAAGTTAATAATATTTTTTATCACACAACTTTACGACTCGGGCAAATATCGCCGGACTGAGACTGACTGCATTAACCATTCCATAAAGATAGATACAATTTAAACAGGTTAATACTACTGATGACCGAATTGAACTAATAGAACGAACTAGTTCACTGTCCGTAATGTACTAGTACGGAACGATCTTTAAAATGACCGACAAGGCTAGACCAGACAAGATGGCATCACATTTCATTTGTAATTTTATACCTAATTTAATAAAAAGATTCTAGAGAAATCTGCGTCGGCTTTCAAATGTAATTAAATAACTTCGACACTAGATGGCGACACTTTGTGTCACGTGAACTAAAAATATAAAGGTACGTAGAGCTCAGTCATAGATAAGAGTGTATATACGGAAACGCTCAGTATTGTTAAAATAATCATACAAAGGTGTTGAAATTTGTTTTGCATTCAGTCCTAAAGAATTTTTTAATTGCCAAAATATAATTTTTATAATCATTTTGTGAACAGGCCGCCATCTATCGTCAAGGTAGCTAAACTACATTGCAACATCTATATGGAACGGTGCGATTAGTTTTACTATTTATCGGTAGCTGAAAAATAGTAAAGTGGGCGGGGCTTAACATCCCCTCACTCCGCAAAGTGTCACGCGTTGTTACATAGTGAAATCAAATTACACCTCTTTGTATTTGCTCCGTGGATGACACCCACATGACGAAATGGTGTAATGGGTAATCTTACGCAGCCACACGGCACTAAATATAATTTACACTAAATAATTATGTTATAAAGAAAATACTCTCAACATATTAGCAGTAATTTATTTAAAAAAAATTAAAATGTATCATCTTTCAACCCCTTTTCCTCTTGGTACTTGTAATGTAGGTCTGAGCAGTCCTCGTTGGATATGTTGACCCAGCCCTTTTCACTGATGTGGTACACTCTGATAATACCACCAGAGTAGGCGTCGCGATGGGTGGCGTGGTAGATTGCTCGACGTCCTAGTTCTGAAATGAAAATGTCCAGTTATAGTCTTGTTAATTGTAAGTCTAAGATGGGATTTTACGTCTGTTGATAGGGTAAAATGGGGTCATATTTTATATAGACAAAGTTAAATATGCGTTAAATTACTTAAAATTTGTGTAAATATTCTATCAAATAAAAATTTTAACACGTAAAAGTAGGTAATTAAAAAATTAGTCATGTCTGTGGTTAATTTTGAACTTTTGCAATCAACTCGAGGAGATGAAAAGATATATAGACCTCAATAAAGAATCAAAACGCAGATGCGTTGTCACCCGTGAGAACTAAGATGTAATGCCTCGTTTCCAGTAAAAAGGGTGTCCGGGTTCTGTACACTCACCATACGAAACACAGCAGTGACAAGCTGCTATTTTACGTTGGTATTCTGTGAGAGCGTGGTCCTTCCCCGGTCGAGCCGACCCATTCGTGCTACAACTATACTACTAATATGTAGCATGACTCTACCACGTATAAATAAGATAAATATTTGATATGTGTTTAATAACTCGAAACTTTACGCGAAGAATCTATAATAATGTCTTCCAGACCGAATTTCGGTCAAGACAGCCAGTCTCGACGGAGACCAGTCGTCTGCGCGGGGCAGGATTATAGTGCCAGAGAGTATGCGCAAGCACAGGTGTACTCTCTATTCCCTCACTCTCCTAGTCCGATGGGACGGTTATCCATCACGACTGGAGAGAGATCAGGCGCAGGATCAACGGCTTTACGTGCTTTCCGAGGCATGGGGGTGAAACACCGCCAACTTCCTTAATTCGGTCTATATCGCGTATACGTCCAATAGACCAAAGGGCAGGCAGTAAGAATTTATCAAGTAGGTCTAACAAGTCTTGGTCGAATTTCAAAGAATAATCGCACCTCCAGATATGAAAAAGATATTAAAAGGGTAAAAAAAGCTTAGCCAAACAACTGGGTTTCTAATTTTACTAAAAAGTAATGGACGCATTAAACTCAACATTCCAGGATTAAGTCTCCTACCTGGTCAAGCTTATGGGCAAATATTATTAAGAAATTTAGTATGACAACAACAATATAATAATGTTGGTTTAGGACATTAAACACAAATGTGCACCAAGGGTTGTCGAATTGGGGAATTTTATAATTTGATACAGAATGATATAGTGCTAATTGATAGCATTTACCTGCACAGTAATATTAAATGAAAACCATTGACTACATCAATTCTTGTACTAAAAATGACTTAAATCAGTAACATAATTCTAAATTCAATTATAGTGTTTGAGTAAGAGAGTTCACTACCCCATATCATCCTATGGGTGTCGTAAGAGGCAACAAAGGGAAATGAAATAGGAGTACGTTTTTTTATGTGGTAGAGCCATGCTGCAGCTATATTAGTAGTATAGTTGTAGCACGAATAGGTCGACTCGACCTGGGAAGCACCACACTCTCACAGAATACCAGCGTAAAATGGCAGTTTGACACTGCTATGTTTCGTATGGTGAGTGTAGAGAAATGGAAACTCTTTTTACTGAAAAAGGGGCATTCCATCTTAGTCCTTACTGGTGACAACGTATCTGCATTTTGATTCTTTATTAAAGATAGATGAAGATGTCTATGGATCACAGCAACCATTTACCATCAGGTGGACTGTGTGCTTCATTTGTCACCTTATCTTATATATTATTAAAAAAAAAGATAAATAAAAAAACTAAATATCCCCTTTACTTTTGATGGCCTGTAATGAAAGAATGAATGAAGAAAATTAATGCTTCCATTTTGAAAGTAGAAGAATGAGAAAAAACAGTAGAGTATTTGTTAGTAATGAAGGTCATGGTGAAGAAGTGACATTTAATTTCTTTTAGAATAATTATTAAACAACACAAATGGTAACATTCGAGATCACTGTTTTTTTTTTAAGATAAACTAATTTGAAAGTCATTGCATTCTGATGACTCTATTCATACAAAAACATAAATCTACCCACCTTGAGCTTCCTCATCTTCAAGGTCCCATTTGTAGCCAGAATCAAGCACACCAAAGGCATAAACTGAACCAGAACCTACAGAGAACACTTTTCCAGGAGTTCTGGTGCCTTCACTGTCCACGTAGTACAATTGCGCGCCCTAGAAATAAATTATATACTTGAAGGTATAACATAACTTATACAACCCACAGTAATATGTATTGAATTATTTATATTGATTTATTTTATTGTATTGAAGTCGGTTGCACAAAATGTTTAATTTTACCGCTTGTTTTTTTATCCTCAGCAATGGAAAATAATTAAGTTGTACCGGCAGGATCGTACTCAAACTACGAAACATAGTTACAAAGTTATATTTGGTTTGATTAAAATAATAAGATAATAACCAAGCTTTTGACGTGGTAGAGCCATGCTGCAGCTATCTTAGTAGTATAGTTGTAGCACGAATGGGTCGGCTTGACGGGGGTAGGACCACGCTCTCACAGAATACCAGCGTAAAATAGCAGCTTAACGCTGCTGTGTTTCGTATGGTGAGTGTAGAGAACCGGAGACCCTTTTTACTGGAAATGAGGCATTCCATCTTAGTCCTCACGGGTGACAACGCATCTGCATTTTGATTTGTAATTGAGGATAGATGTAGATGTCTATGGGTTGAAGCAACCACTTACCATCAGGTGGACTGTTTGCTCGTTTGTCACCCTTATCCTATATAAAAAAAGTGATAAAGTTAAAGTTTATGCGTGTTTGGTGGACAAACTTACACATCCTTAAAAAAAAATTATTTTGGCAACAAACAGTCATAATTCAAATATATAATAAATTATATCATCATCATTACAGCCCTTCACAAGTCCACTGCTGAACATAGGCCTCTCCCAAGGAATGCCACAAAGCACGGTCCTGAGCCACCTGCATCCATCGACTTCCTGCATGTCCTACCAGGTCATCACTCCATCTAGTGGGGGGACCGCCCTACACTTCGTCCGCCGGTACGAGGCTGCCACTCGAGAACCTTTTTTCCCCATCGGTTGTCGGTTCTTCGAGCTATATGGCCGGCCCATTGCCACTTCAGCTTACTAATCCTTTTGGCTATGTTGGTAACTCTGGTTCTACTGCGGACATATCCTCATTTCTAAGTTTATCACGCAGAGAAACCCCGACCATAGCTCGCTGAGCGACCTTGAGCTTCCTCATACGGCCAGCAGTGAAGGATCACATTTTACATTTATATATGACAAAAATACGAAATAGTGCCAAAAATCAATATTAACAACCTATATTATTTACAGTGAGTCAACATAGTCAGGCTATAATTTTACTGCAGAACCTTTTTTTCAATTTGTCTTAAGAAGATAAGAACTAGTACTAAAAAGATCTATTTTTGAAAAAATGTTTGTTATACCTGTTGGTGGAACGACATATAAAAGAGTTACGTGTATAGTTTTTATGAAATCAAGGAGGAACGAATAGTAGTAACAAGCATGAGGAGTGCACAGGAAAACAAACTTGTTGGAAATGAAATCATAGACAAAAGAGTCTGTGAATCTATTAATAAATTTAGAATTTTATATACAAGCATAATGTCAAATATTTTACGAGAGAGAGGGATTTTACATTTTTTGAGATTGTTACGGCCCTCAGTTGCCCCGACAAAAGTCGACTGGACCAGGGCCCATGAGTGATCCCCTCGACGAGCAACAGAGGGTTCGTGCCCAACGGCCTGTGGAAACTTATGACACAATAGAGATAGGCTAGGTAAATAAATACGACGTACCTGGTTCTGAGGCAAAGACTGTCCCAAGGCTCGGTCAGGCCGTAGGTAGGTGTGGGTGCGTGTAAAGTGGTGTTTAGTGGTGTGTATAATGGTTGGACTGACTGGACTGTTGAAGTCTGACCGCAGATCCACAGGCGCTGCCGCTACTCCAAAGGTGAGATCTCTCAAAAGGGGGCGGTCACTAATTGACAACTTCTTTCTTCATTTCAATCTCAGTTTATCAACTTTATTGTACACTATTTCAATCCACCAACCTTATTGTACATTTAATTAACTTACTAACTCAACTAAATCCCCGTTAATCTTAATCAAAAACCGACACTAATAGAGGTTATACCGGGACGACCTCACGCCGTGCTAGTGACTGCACTGCATTCAATCACTTCCGGCCCGCCCCACAAGCAACTAATCCGATTTCGCGCGAACGTCAAACGGTAGGAAATCACCGCTCTGCGCGCCCCCTGGCGTCGATTCCAGAAATCAGCGTTTGGCGCGAACAGACATAATAAATAAATAGCTAAATATATAATATAGCAGAATACTTACACGTTTATCAATACCAGCAAGCATCATACCCATACTTAGGCCCATGCCCTTGTAGTTGTAGACCATGTTCGCCATGAGCTTACTTGCAGCAGCTACGGAAATGCGCTCACGATTGCGGAGCTCATACAAACGGCATTGTTTCGCTAAAACCCTGTCCCAGTAGACACAGTCAGCTGCACCTCCAGCCAAGGTGCCTGAGAAATATAAACAAAGTTAATACTGCAGCTGATTGAGCATATTTGGTATTATATGGACATTTATTGTTTATACTACATTTAAAGTATGTATGTATTTCCAAGTATGAGACAGAAATTAACTTTAAAAAAGTAAAAGCTGACTTCAAAGAAAAACATTATTCATTCAAAATTTGGTGCTTTATTTCTTATAGACCAGCGATTCCTAACCAGTGCTCCGCGAGTTTAAATATAGTCAGTGAAAGATTTAAATATTTTACCTACCTAATTATTTTAAATAACACATTTATTATTTTCTCGTAATGTGGGCAGTGTAACACCGCGCGTCACGTTAGTTAGTACCTACTAGATTTTACAATAAATACACAAATAATACTGTTAATGAATCCTTATTTTCAGTTTATAATGTAATTATGTTAAGAGTTGTGATTATAATTTATTGTTAGATTAACACAGTTTTTTTTCTTTCAACTTGTGGTCTCTGCTAACTACAAAAAACTCAGTGGTCCCAGGGCAAAAAAGGTTGAAAAAAAACCCTGTTATAGACTACATCACATACAATAAATTATTTTATTCATTTTAGTTTTTTGGAGTACGTTTTTTTTATACTATAGGGTGGCAAGCGAGCACATAGTCCACCTAATGATAAGTGGTTGCTGTGGCCCATAGACATCTACATCTATCTTCGATTGCGAATTAAAATGCAGATGCGTTGTCAACTCTCGCAATTCAAACTTCCAGTTAAGTGTTAGTAACAAATTAACCGAATCAGATCAGGACGTTGCAATGGTTTTTGAGAAATATTTTACTGATATTCCGATATTAACCACTAAGTCACTGAATTCTTCTCCTGCCGTCGCCGAATCATTACTTAAACAAAATGTAAATGCGTGTACAAAGAATTTTACATTTCATAAAGTATCATCAAAAGATAAATTTATTGTAAAATATTTTAAAACTATTGATGTTAAGAAAACTGCGGATCTGTGGGGGATTTCCGTTAAAGTTATTGCGTCTATAATAGATACAATCGCGCCTCATTTAGCTATTATTTTTAATACTAGTGTCGAATCTGGTGTGTTTCCTGATTTAATGAAGTATAGTAAAGTAATACCTTTATATAAATCTATTAGTACAATAGACCCCGCCAATTTTAGACCTATTTCTGTACTAACAACACTTAGTAAGATTTTTGAAAAAATTAATCTTGATCAAATGTTAAATTTCTTTAATATAAATAATTTACTTCATAAAAATCAATTTGGTTTCACAAGGGGTCGCTTAACAACTGATGCCGGTGTTGAGTTGATTAAATATTTATTTAATGCATGGGAGTATTCACAGGATGTTTTGGGTATATTTTGTGACCTATCCAAAGCCTTCGATTGTGTTCACCATGAGACATTAATCAGGAAACTTCAACACTACAGTGTACAAAGTGATGCTCTTAAACTAATTATTTCATATTTAAGTAAGAGAACGCGTGCCTCAAGGCTCAATTCTTGGCCCCTTTCTGTTTCTTGTATACATTAATGACTTACCTTACATAGTAGGAGATAACCATGATATAGTATTATTTGCAGATGACACTTCTTTAATTTTCAAATTAAGTCGACAATTGCTAAAATATGACGAAGTAAATAATGCTATATCTAAATTAGTAAATTGGTTCAATGTTAATAATTTGCATTTAAATGGCACTAAAACGAAATGTATGAATTTATTTCTGTGAGAGCGTGGTCCTTTCCTGGTTGAGCCGACCCATTCGTGCTACAACTATACTATAAAAATAGCTGCAGCATGGCTACCACGTTTAAGACTACTCTCTACTTTACTATACTCTCACAATTATGAAAATATATAAATGTTATATTTACTAATGATATGGTTAATTCTCCCATTTAATTTTTTGGCTCAATACCGCAGCTAATAAGCATGTATAAATATAATGTGGTCCTGCCACATTTTGTTCCAATCCTCCATGGTACAATTTATAAATTATTTATTTTTCAATTATAAAAATTGTATAGCCTTTTATCAAATAGAAAAATGTGATTGAAAGTCCATTGTAGTGTTTTAATAAATGCTTAACAGTATTTATTTTATTTATTATCAGTTGTATAATAATATACTTTCTTATTTTAAATGAAAATAATTTCAGGTTCATAATAATAATTACACATATGCATGTCATCTCTGGTTGTTCATTGCGTTTTTACTTTGAGGATCTGCATAGACACATCCTAGTATTTAGGATTCTACACCAGAAGCTCATTTTGAAGGAGTATTGTGGATCAGATATTGCTTTATTGTACATACTAGCCAGAAACCAAGCTCAATAATGACCACATAATAGGCAACACTAGGACCCAAGCCACCTCAGACAGGACTATTTTTGTAAATAAGCTATTGTTATTGTTGAGTTTCTTAAATACAAAATTCATTTAAAATCTACAAGTTGTAGAGTTGTAGATAAAAGGATTAAGTCTAAATAATAAAAGTAACTTTAAATAAGTAACTTTCTAAATATGTAAGTGTAAATTGAAATAAAATTTATTTAAAAAAATAAAGTAGCAAAAAGTTAAACATAACAAACTACTTACCAAGTAGATAATCATTAATTTCTACAATCTTCTTCATAGATTGTGATCCAATGAATTGGCCACCAGTGGCTCGGGAATCTACTGCCAACAGTACTCCACCCTTTTGTGAGGAATAGACAATAATGAAAATGAAAATGTTTATTTGTCTCAAAACAGTTACATGAATTATAAATGAGACATCCCCAGTAAGTAATTGATAATACTTGTGTTGGGGCTATCTCGCTCTTTCCCTTAATTATTAACAATATTGAGACTATTATACAAAAGGTAAGTAAAGATAAATTTATGAAGAAAAAATAACAGTAAGTGACTTATAAAGTAATTATTAGCTCTTTGTGTAACTGTAGTTGTACGCCTGTGTGAAACTGTAGTGCATCTTGTTTTTAAACGTGCGTGCTTGCGTGCGTGTATGTATGTGTGTGTGTGTGTGTGTGTGTGTGTGTGTGTGTGTGTGTGTGTGCGTGCGTTTATGTGTGTGAGTGTGTGTCTTCTTTGTAGTGCCGGTGTGTTCGAAGTGCATGTAATAGATTAAGCTCGGTGAGTACGTACATTATTGATAAGACAGAAGAAAAAAAAATTGCTTAACTAAGTCTTTCTAAAATTTGTTCAGTTTCTTCGTATGTTAAGGTTTTTAACCACTCAGTTATTACCTTTTTGCATACGTGTAGTACCTCATGGTGGAACTTTAATTTTACGTTTATTTTATTATAAATGTAGACTGATTGGGTTGCATACTGACGCCGTGCAAAAGCGGTTCGGACCCTTAGGGAGTAAGCCACTATGTCTTTTCGTCTCCTCTCCTGACTGTCTTGGTTAAATGGAATAGATTTTTGTAAGTATAGGACCGTAATTAAGTAATATAGTTTTCTAATTGAAAGTAAGCCACTGATTCTATATAGATCGTCGGTGGGGTATCTGTATGGTTTATAGTACATTACTTTTATAAGTGACCTTTGGGTTCTTTCTAACTCAAGGAATTTAGTTTTAGTGGCTCCTCCCCAGACTGGTAAACAATATGTAAGAACTGATTGCGTAAGCATAATATAGATGCTATTTAGTGTCTTCTGAGGCATCACATATCTTAAATTTTTAAAAATCCATATAAATTTGCGCACCCGTGATGTAACAATCTCAATATGCGAATGCCAAGTTAAACACTCGTCAACTATAATTCCCAAGTATCTTGTGGACGTTATATGTTTAAGGACCTGGCAATTACAATTATGGTTCAAGTGGTCCGCACACGTGTGTATTCTAATTTTAAAATTTTGGCCTGGTTTAGATCTTAAACTAGGAGAAAAACAAATGTAGTTCGTTTTAATCACATTAATGGTTAGCAGACTGGCTTTGAGCCATCTATCTATAACAACTAATCCTTGCTCGGCATTATTGCATACTTCTTCCCACGAGTCCCCAATGTAAACGATGGCCGTGTCGTCCGCGTAGGAGAAGGTTTTCCCACCACTGCTTCGTAGGTTGCATAATTCATTAATATACACTAGAAACAGTGATGGGCCGAGAACCGAGCCCTGTGGGACACCGTAAATAATGTTTTCCTCCTCACTAAGCAAGTTATCTATTTTAACTTACTGTCTCCTACCTCGGAGGTAGCTGTCAAAGAGGGAGAGAGCTTTACCTCTTATCCCTATAGCTTCAAGTCTCTGCACAAGGATGGGAACAGATACAGTGTCAAAAGCCTTTTTCAGGTCTAGAAACACCGTAACGCATTTATAACCATTGTCTATCTTATTAACGATTTCAGATGTTAACGCAATGATCGCATCCTGAGTTGACCGTCCCTGTCTAAAACCGTATTGTGAATCTGAAATAATGTTGTATTTATTTAAATAACTTACTAGCCTTTTGTTTAATATTTTCTCTATTATTTTTGAAAGGGATGTTAAGACAGATATCGGCCGATAATTGTTAACATCACTCTTGTCCCCATCTTTGTGCACGGGCGTAATTATAGAACGTTTTAGCGCATCAGGAAATACGCCCGTTTCGAAACACATATTAATCAACTGGCTAATAAGAGGAACAACTAGTTCTCGAGATAATTTAAGGAAACCCACAGGTATGCAATCCCACCCCGAAGCACTTTCTGAGTCAAGTGATCCAAGTATGCTATCCACTTCTGCCGGATCTGTCTCAAGTAGGACGAACGAGTTAATTTGAGATAGTGAATTTAAGTAAGTGACAGATCTAGATGCTTGTCCAGTTAGGGTTATGATTTCATCCGCAAGTTTTTTTCCAATAGTTGCGAAGAATTGGTTTACACGGTTTAAAGAGTCAAGAGGATGTGGTGTGATATGCAGTAGGTGTATACTAGACGCCTTGGGTTTTTTATAATGTGTAATGTCATTAATTTTACGCCAGAGTAGTTTAGGATACACCTAGTATAGACCTGCCACCCAGAGTGATGGGCAGAGACTATACAGTGGAATCCGTTTGTAATGACATTGAAGGGAAATAACAAACACGTCATACTAAGCGGACGTCATATAAATCATTTTGTAGAAAATAAACAATCTCCAGTTTTTGTTAGTATGTATTTATTTGAATAGAGAAAAATCTTTAATTAAAGTAACTTAAATTCTTAATAATAAATTTGTTTTTACAAATCATTGAGATTGTCGAGTGACCAACCCCAAATTCCCTTTCGAGAGATGAGTTGGATTCTCCATTTTCTAAACTGCACGTGCACTGATGTTGAGATTTCATTTTTTTCACAAATCATTAACAAACAATGACCTTCAACAATCAATTACCCACTGAGACTCAAAACAAAATAAGACACTTATGACTGCCTCGTCAGCCTAGTGATCGTAATCTTGGCTGGTCATGAGGTTTTGGGTTCGAATCACAGTTTGGGCCAAAATCAATTATTGGGGTTTTATGTCAAGAAATTTTCACTAGTAGTTTCAATCCCATGCCCTGGTCTCTCTCCGCTCTAGACAAGTTACTCATTGGACTATTAGAGTGAGTCAATAGAGAGTGCACCTGTGTTTGCCTATACACTTGGACACTATAATCCTGTCTTGTGCAGATGGCTCCTCTTCATTGAACCTGGCCGCCGTGACCGATATTCAGTCTGGAGGATATTATATTATATCCATATACCTACACATACATGCTGAACAGCTAAGGACATCTTTTAACTTGGCCCCATCATATTGCTTATATAAAATCCTTTATATATTTTTAAATGATAATTGTGACCATGTAAGATGTGGCATATTGGGATTTATATGCAAATTGTTTATGTCCATGGTTCAGCAGCTTATTAAATTTATTATTTTGAAATAAATTCGCTATTTACTTATTATAATACTAAGAAATTACGCCAGTTTTACATTATAACTTTAATACATTTTGTTTTTACCTTATACCGGAATCCAAGAGTGGTAGTACCGTGATCGAATTCAATTTTTATGTCCCGTCCGGTCTCGTCTTTAGTATTGAACTGTGCTAAAGTTTCTACTGGCTGAAAGATCAAAATATTTTTGTATTAAGATATTAATAACCAATGATACAAACTTCTTATAAAATAACAGGTTATTTAAAAGAATAAACTTAGCACACTTACATTTGCAAACGGTGGAATCGCTAGTTGAGCGCTGTTAATAAAATTTTGACTATACCCAATGACATCGTTTTTAAATGAAGCAAGTGAATCGACAGGTTTTAAATTAATTTTCTCGTCCAGACGGCAAAAATCTAATAAAGCCATTGTTTATAACTTTGTTTTACAATATCCAAACGATGAACTTGGATGACAAGCGAAATCTGAATTTCTGAATATGAAAACGAAAAGGTTTGACAAATAGTAAAAGGTGTTGCTAGTACATTTTATATGTTTGTTAGTTTCTACTTTGTAATGTTGCTAAAATGTTAATGCATTTAATTACTTTGTAGTAAATAAAATGTATTAAAAAAACTATCCGACATAATTAGTGTGTTTTATTTAAAACAGGGTTTATTTTATAATAATTAAAACTTTAATGAAACATATTTGAAATAAATATCTACTCATCGTTAGATGGCGGCTCGACACAATTTTCATTTCATACGACAGCGAGGGTTATCTTCCGCTCACTAGATGTCACTTACACAAAATCTCCTCAGTGTTTTTTTTTGTAGTAAATGGCATTTAGTACCTAAGTGGTAACATTTTCTAACTTTTTATGTTTCTACTTTTAGGGAGTATCCGTCAATTGGTTTACCATTACTTATCTAATTTATAGAAAATATAACCAATATTTAGATTTCAGAAGGAAACAATAACCCTTATTTTACGTAGCAAATGTGTTTTTTGTCAAATATTTTACCCTGGTGGAAGAAAAAGAATCGTGGATTTCGAGTTTTAAATAAATATCAAAGAAATTATATTTTTTTAAAACATGTGGTCCCTGGCTATGTGGTGGTGGCGTCCGTCAACCCCATAACGTATTATGGGTGATCTTGAACGAATTAACCATGTGTGTTAATTCGTTCAAGTGGGTGATATTAGCCACACGCTCAGAGTATCATTATAAATGTTAGCCTCGAAAATAATCAGAAGACTTTCTAGTCCCCGACAGATGTCGGGACCAACATTATCGGAGCAATCATCGAGTGGTAGTTACTACAAATTTTTTTTATAGGAGAGGGGGCAAACTAGCATGCGGCTCACCTCATAGTGACTACCGCCGCTCATGAACAACCGTAACACCAGGGGAATTGCAGATGCATTGCCGGCCTTTTAAAAAGGAGTAGTCTCTTTCCTTTAAGGTCCCTAAGTCGTATCGATCCGAAAAAATCACTGGTGGTAATCGATTCCACAAGGAAGTATTGCGAGGAAGAAAACATCTTCTAATTCGCACAGTGGTGGACCGCCAATCATCCAGGTGGTATGGATGGTATCGCAAGTTTTGTCGCGATGTGCGATGGTGAAATTGTGCGGCTGGAATTAGTCCGAACAATTCCTCAGAGCACTCTCCATGATAGATGCGATAAAATACGTAAAGAGATGCAACATCTCTACCCAGTGCCAGTGTATCGAGCCGATCAGAAAGAACACTGTCGTTGACGATTGGATGCGGTCAAGTGGAAGGAGCTGGCACTGGGGTGCCCCAGACAAGAGATAAGAACAGTATTCCATGTGAGGCCGGATTTGCGCTTTGTAAAGTTGCAAGCGATGTGCCGGCATCGTCCGTCTCGCTCTGAAATTTTTTTTAAAATTTAATTTAACTAATTACTCTCTATCACTTCTTGTGAGTACTACATATATTATTTATTCTGTGCTACAACTCCAGTGGTGAGTGGGTCTACGGGTTGTTGAGATGAGAATATTTAAACGTTTGTTGAAATGTTCTAAGATAATTGTAAAAAAATATTTCCGAATGATGATGATTGTAAAATTTTAGTAGCTGATAGACAACCATGGGGACATTGCAGTATAAAGTACTGTGTAGTATAACAATTTATTTTAATTAATTAATTTATTACAGATTATCGAAAGTCTGGTGATTTACATAGCCCTCCGCTATACATCGCCACATAGAGGGGAAAGTTCTCATGGTTGCTAGGTGCCATGCCTGGCATGCGTCTACGGAGTAGGGTTGCCACATATTTTTGAACAAATATAGTATTTTTCCCAAAAAAGATGCAAAAATATACTACTTTTGGGAAATTCAGGAAAAAGAACACAATTATTTTTAATATTTATGTATTTTTTCATATATATTTGTTACCTTTACCTTTAAAATAATTTATAGGAATCTGAGAAATTTAGATTCACATTAAAATAAATTAACAATTCCTTTTTTATTTAAATTAATACATGCTCTATTTCTTTCTTCTCTCCATTTTACAGTCATGACGGAAAAATTCTTTCCATAAAACTTACTTTGTTCCAGATTTTTAGTCACAGTTAATATAAAAAACTCGATAGTTGAATTATGTAGGGATAAAAATATAATATTTTTCGTATTTTATATTATTTTCTATAATATATGTATAGCACAATTGACTGAAATATGGTACGATTTTGTTTTATTACTTTGAGTTGTATCAGGAAGATGCTGCTCATAGTTGCTCATTTTGATGCTCATCCTGTGTTTCATTTCCTTCTATTGCCTCTTATGACACCCACGGATCGATATGAGGAAGCAGATTTTCTTATTCCACCCTTACACGGTAACAATTTTAGAATAATTTAAAGTTATCAGGTCCTCAGTAGATATTACATAGAGTTCCACGCAAACACGATCTAATGTACACTAGCCTAATGTAAGATTTTTTGCGATAAGGTCTGAGGTATATCTAGGCTAGGATGTATGAAGGAGATTGAGACAATTACAACAATTTGATTAGGGCTTGAACTTAGTATCAACTCGTACTGCATTAGTTAAACACTCAGACCAGATCTTGCGGTCGTTATTTTTTTATTGTAGAAACCATCTTATTTTCTAGCTCAGACCCAGCTGTACTCAAGTTGTGTAGTTGTATCTCTAGATAATATACTTTTAGGTATAGGTATAATACTTATTATGACCTAGAATTCACTATTTCTAATAAAGTATAAATTAGCGCATGGTATATGTGATTAAAGAGCCATTTGTAAATTGATAAACATTAAGAGAACAGATTTAAGTAGATAATTATTTTCGAAGAAAGAACAGCAAGTTGGAATTATGAGATTCAGCGAACAGGTTACATTATGTAGTGATAACTTAGATAGCCTATTATTACGCTATGAGTCAGAAGGGTATAGCGTTCATCCCAATGCGATACAATCTATAATATCAATTAAATTCGAAGCCTTTGCATAATGTCTGTCATTACGTCCAACGATGGTTGCGCGATTCGTATATTAGATAGTGTATTTATATTTTAATACATTCTTACTTTACAGATCTAATGACAACGCCCTAATGGTTGTGTTACCTTGGTACTATGGTGCGGATTCAGGAAGGGAATCCATCCGAGGTGTCACCTACGGTCACAACATTATCGCGCATTGATTCGTGTCGCGTTGTCGCAACAAAACTTCGTATTTGATCTTCGATTAATTGTAGTTAATGGCCACATTGTTAAAAAAAAACTTCGCAGTTTAAAAACGTCGCGATGATTCAGCTAGACGCGGGTAATGGAAGACGCGATTGCGCTGTATTATACGTCGGCAAATAATTATTTATGACATCCAACATTAATTATTTTAATCCTCACCCTTGCGTCGTAATTTAAATGTTGTTTTTGTGATTTGGCTCTTGGGGGTTCTATAAAACTGGTTCTGATTCTCCAGTCCATATTTTACCTATGATAAAACCAGATTATTGCAAGACAAATACGTGCTCACTCCTGGACGTCTCGCTGTAAACAGAGTCGCAAATCGCAAAGTGTAGTAATCGCACGAACTTCGTTACGATACAACCCTTTGATGTGCAGCAATTTACCGACAGCGACGTGAAGGGCTTGTTCAGACGTGTCGCAACAATTGATTTTTGATTTTTGTAAATTAAAACGTTACCCCCATACTAAGATTTTCTCCTGTATCGTGGAGGCTGTTTACAAACACAAATTGCACAAAAACAAACATCCAGACCCGGAACCATTATTTGTAGGCCATACAAATACTTGTTCCGTGCGGGATTCGAACCCGCGGCCAACAGCGCTGCAACTCATTGGTAAGCCACTGCGCCACGGAGCCGTCAATGCAAATCTTCGCCTTATGGTCCGGCTACACGCTCAATCTTACTTGCAAAAAATCTAATTTGCACAAGCAAGCATGTACGATAAGTCCGCAAAACGGTACCTATACCGTGCAAATAGCTTGCAAAAATGCTTAATTTGCTCAAACTAAAGTTGCATGTACGTTAAGACGGCGTGTGGACGTCACGTGTGGACGTTGTGCAGTGCACCATGTTGTTTGCGCAATTTTTTTTCATAAATTGTTTGCGCACGCAAGTCGCTGTGTGTAGCCGGAGCCTTTTTTTTTAAATAGGATAAGGGTGACAAACGAGCACACAGTCCACCTGATGGTAAGTGGTTGCTGCGGCCCATAGACATCTACATCTATCTTCTTTTACAAATCAAAATGTAGATGCGTTGTCACCCGTGAGGACTAAGATGGAATGTCTCATTTCCAGTAAAAAGGGCCTCCGGCCACCTGCACTCACCAGACGAAACGCGGAAGCAGAGCTTCCACTTCACGCCGGTATTCTGTGAGGTCGTGGTACTAACCCGGCTCGAGCTGGCCCATACGTGCAACAGCAAAAGCTGCCGCGTGGCTCTACCACTGTCCAAAATGTGTGCATTAATATGTGACCGCAGCAAGTTGCTGTATAGACCTCATCGTACTATTTTTATACAAGTATAAGTGTGGAAAACGAGCACACAATCCACTTTACAAATGACCTACCACCCATAGGATGTTACTATACTTCACTTCTAGGTGATACTTCACCTAGATCTAGCAAAACGGGGTAAATATGAGTGCGGCTCACATTATGGTAACTATCGCCCCTAATAAACAACAGCAAAACAAGAGGAATTGTAGGTGCGTTGACCTGTCAGTCTCACTCAAAATTTCAGGTGTCCCGGAAACGATGGCCATTTCTCTGAGAGACTTTAAAATTTAAGTTATAAATTACCTGTACGGTCCTCTTTTGCAAAACAATCTTAATATACTTAGTTTCAATATCAGTTGCGTTATCCCATAGCAAAATAAGACATTACTCTATAAAAGTCTTAGAGAATTTATAAGCTTGCTTATTTACAGTCTAAGATAAAAGTACAATAAAATTGATTCCAAAC